TATATATATATATATATATATATATATATATAAATATACAAATATATATATATATATATATATATATATATATATATATATATATATATATATATATATATATATATATTTAAGGTTGTTTTGTATTATAATAATAAAACAAAACTCATAGTCGAAAAAGAGTGCTCAATATTAAAAAGATATTTCAAATAGAGCAATATACATATATATATGAAACAACTTTTTCTATGGTACTTTAAGTTTCATTCCTATAAAGCAATCATCAGCCATTGAATACAAAACCAAAAACAAAAAACCTGCTAAAAATTACAAAATACTGGGTAGCGGGATCTTAATGTCGCTAAGATACACTTGATGGCAACTAAAGAAAAAAATAAAATATCAGCTAATCACCAGTGTAAAAAAAAGATATTAGGAATTTATTTTTGTGTCATTTTGAAATTAACTCATTTCGTTTAATTAATAAGTTATCACCTTTATATGTTAAAATGAGGAATTTTTCAAATAAGCAAAGATGGCAAATTTTTAACGAGGCGTTATAAGTATTGCAAAGTTTTACAATTTTCCACTTATTAAGGGTGTAAATATTTTGTCTTTTATGTTTCAAATTTCTTTAGACAACTTGGTATCATATTTATATTTGTTAATGTTAAAAGATTTTAGGTGATTCGCATACTGAGATTTGAATGAAATATAATACAAAACAACCTTAAATATCAATATATACGCTCCAATTAGTTGAGCACTCAAGTCGTCCAATCAATGGAGAAAATAAACTTTAATTACTCAGTCAAAAATATTCCTATTCCATCGAAAAAAGAATTCTTATATATTCTTATAATATATATATATATATATATATATATATATATATATATATATATATATATATATATATATATATATATATATATATATATCTAGCTTAAACAATAATTTTTAAAATAGATATACCGAGCTGCAAGATTCAGTTGTCCATTTCTATGTGTATAATAAGGAGCTGGTAACGCCTTCATTAAGTCTTGAAATCTAGTAAAATATGAGAAGTGTTGAAATCTTTAAACTCAATTGTTTGTTTAAAATTCATTTAACACAATAAAGAATAAATAAATAAACAAATGCAAGAAAAACAATTATTTTTATAACAAATATGTTTAATAAATAAATAAATGTTTTGTTTATGTTGTTTTAAAATTAATTGGTAAAATTATAAAAAAACAAAAGTAATTTTATTTATTAAAATGTGTAAAATTAGATTGTGATTTGAAAATTAACTAAGGCAAAGTAATTGATTCTTATAAGTTATAGCAACTTATAGCCGTTACAAATCTAACTTTAAAATATATATATAAGAAAAAAATAACTATTTAATACCTCTCGGGTAATTTGTCTTGAAAGTCATCTCCTGAAGGCCAGTCCTATAATTTAAAATCAAATAAATTTTTTATCAACTGTCATGTATGTATTTTGTAAATTATGTGATTGTAAATTGTCATATGCATACAAATACATTTTTTTTTTTTACTAATTCACTTTTATAAAAGCTGCAAGCAACCACTATTATGTTGGGAATTACTAGCAAACAAAAAACATTGTTAAAGTGCAAGGAAACAGTTGATAAGACTTGAAAAATTGTTAGTTATTTAATTGTGTTTTAGCACATAACTGACACAGTTGATAAGACTTGAAAAATTGTTAGTTGTTATGAGACAGGAAAATATGAAGATGAGAGTGAGTTTTTCTCCAAAGCACTGATGTGTTAGGAAAAAAGCTAGGTGGGTAAAAGCTTTAAAAGAATGAAGAGACAAATAATGCTACATTACTGAATGACGATTCAAGAGAGAATGAATTTTGATTAATGAAACTAGAGATTTAAACTCCCTTGAGCGAACCAATATTTAAACTCGCTTGAACGAACCAAAATTTAAACTTGCTTGAACAGATCTTTAGAGATTGTTTAGAGTATTAAGCCTGTTATAGTATTTGGAGAAAAGAGAAATGCAACTTTACAATGATGGGACGGTCGCTCAAGAAGAAAAAGAAGATCACTAGAAGAACCAACCCAAATATAATTCCATACAGCATTCAGTATTTCATACAGTATTCCATACAAGTACAAATAAGAGGAAGATATAAATAAAAGAGAATGAAATTGGTATTAAAAAATGGTAAGCTCGGTAAAGAAAAGCAACCTTCACACATGCTGACTTTGCAATAGATTGTATATATGGCATGTTCTAATGATTGTATATATGGCATGTTTAACTTACGTTATACACACAACAACTATTAACAAATATTATCATATTTAAACACAATTAAATTATTTAAACACAAAAAAAAAAAAAGTAAAAAAAAATTTCAGCTTCAGGTTGGATTTCTGGGTATCAGTATTGTGATTCGTATTGAAATTTTTAACATATTATGAATTCAATACTCACGAGAAAAAAATAAAAAGGTTTCATCAGAAGTGATTACTCAGGAAAATAAATAAGTTATTTGGAAAATAAATAAGTTATATCACTTAAATAAATAAGTTATATCACTTAAGTTACTGTGCAATTAATAAAGACTTAAAAATAAGATTTTTATTATTTTAACATCAAGTAGTTTCAATAGTATATTTATATTTATATATTTATATATTTATATTTATATATATAGCTATTTATATAAACTGCTTTAAAATTTAGACATTTTATATTTTAAAAATGTTTATTAACAATCGTTAAAAGTCAGTTGTTGTTTGAAAATAGTATCAGTAGTATAGTAGTGAAATAATTTTTCAAGTTACAAAACCAAAGAATTGCAATTAAAATTCCATTCATTCAAAGTTTATAAAATTAATCTGCCACTTTTTAACTAAAAGATTTTTCAACAAAATTTATGAAAGTTTGAATCAAAAACAGTTTTTTTTTGAAGTGTAAGAGAGAGAATTTAAAATATTTCTTCTTTGTGTAAATAAAATAAAACATTTTTAAAAGCGCCAAATCTTCGAGGTCATGTAGTTTTAACTTAAACAAATTCAAAATTAAAGCACCAAATCTTTAAGGTTAACTCATGTAGTTTTAACTTATGTTACACAAATTCAAACTTAAAATTTCCTTAAACTAAGCATCAATATTCAAAACATTAAATATAAAAACATAAAATTTAATATCGAAACACATTAATAAAAAATATTGTTTTTTTGACAAAACTGTTGGAAATACATTAACATATACAATAATATAAATATATAATATTTTACAATGATGTGTTTTTATCACATGATAAAAATATTATGATAAAAAAATCATATCATATGGCTGTAGAATTTGCTGTATGGTATATGTTTCCATGAGAGGTCAGTAGTGAATAATAATCCAAGAAGACATAAAGCAGAGGATTTAGTGAAAAAGCAGCTATTCGCCAATATAGGAAAGTCAACAATATTGTGATAGTTGTTTGCAAACGAATTTTTACAATGATTTCTTACAATTATAAAATTAGGTTTGGTCTCAAGAGAATTATTCTTATGAAAAAGATGAAAAAAATATTTACGATTAGAAATAGCACAAGGAGATAAAAAAGGAGTAGAATGAGGCTTGACTGAAAACCAACAGGAAGAAATAAGAGCTTAAAAAGTATTACTTTAATAACTTTTAAATCTATTGTGTAAATAAATATTGTATAAATTAGTAATTTATAATATACATAAATAATTAAATACTGTATAAATTTGTACTAAATATAAATAAACTGGTAAAAAATACTGGTATATCTGATTAGGGTTAAATGAAACATCTAAAATCTGTTTAAATATAACCAGCACAAAAAACATGTATGTTTGAAAACATATAAATATACATTTATGTATATGTTTGAAAACATATACAGAAACATTGTTTCCTACCTTTAACTTAAGTAGAGCTGTTGAACCATCAAAAATTGGACGATCTAAAAGTTTTAAATCAAATAAAAATTAAATTTTTAAATTTAATCATTAAAACTAAAAATAAAAAAAATTAAAAAAAAAATTTAAAAAAGTTAAAAGTTAAAATTAAATAAAAGTTAAAAAATTTAAAAAAGCTAAAAGTTTTACCTGATACGCTTTCAAATCCACGCCAAAAAAGGTTGACAGGAAAATTTTCAATTATTTTTCCAGTTAAACAGTTAACAACATCATTGAATTCATGTCCTATTAACAATATAGTGTTACATAAAATATGTAATAGTATTACATAAAATATGTAATAGTACTACATAAAAAATGTAAGCCAATAAAGAAAAAGAAGTAAAATATATTATATTAATGCAAAAAATGGTACTAAACAAATGCTAATATTGAAAAATAACATGACATTAAATAACATAAATAGCATTGAATAAAAAATATAACTGATAAAAAAAAAAAGCTGATAAAAGAAATTTCTTATTTTAATTTCAAACTTTTAATAAAATTTGAAAAGTATGATTAGCAGAAAGACATTCTGCTAATCATACCTTCATTCTGGGTCATTCAGCTAATCATACCTTCTATGGGTCATTCAGCTAAAAGAAAAAACTTAGTAAAGCACATTTTTTTGTTTTCTGTTTATGTACTAACTTTGTTCTAACATGTTCTGTACTAACTTTGATCCAATTTAAGAATTATATTTAAATATTTTTTTTAATTTATTACTGTATAGTGCGAGTTTAGTACTGTATAGTGTTAATTTAGTACTGTATAGTGCAAGTAAACAAAAAGAAAAAAGAAAAAAATTAGTAATAAGAGTTAAGAATTAAAAAACTTAAAGAAAGACATAAACAAAACAAAAGTTGAATGTTGCAAAATTAACAAAAACTTTAATCCTGAAAAGAATGGTTTTAAAAAGAAGTAAAATCTTAAAGATTTTTCATTTTTATAAATTTATAAATAGACTTATGCCTATTTATAAATTTATAAAAATAAATTTATAAATAGACATAAGTGTTATCACTGGCTTAAAAACTTATTTAATTATATCAATTTATGCGTTAAAATACAAGTTTTTAATGAAAGTTTAAAAACATGAAATATTAACAGTTAAATAATATAGATAATTTAACTAAACTTTGATTTTATCCATGCCAGCACATCTATTATTATTCAAACTTTTAAAACCATTTCACAACTCACTTACGTTTAAATTAACTTCTTTCATAGTTGCATTGGTTGATTTGATATGGTTTGATATTTGATATGGCCTAAATTTGTTATTTTTTGGAGTTTTAGCAACTTTAGACCTACACCAAGAAAAAATTTGTTGAGCTTTTAAACTATGACTTTTTTTTTGAACAACTTGCAAAATTCTATAGTTGTATTTGGAATAATATAAGAAACATGAAGTTGACAAATTTAAGTTTAACTAAAAAGTGTTTGCATTTAAATAATGATTTTATTTTCCGACAAAATACATCTCGAAACTTCTGAATAATTTATTTTGCAGAAAATATTTTAAATAGACACTGCTGCAATGCAGCAGTGCCTATTTAAAATATCGTCTGTTTACATTTCCCATTAGGGCATGATGAAAGTAAAAATAGTTCTTGCTAATTCTCAGTAAATGCTAATTTTATAAAACTGTAAAACAGAAAGTTATTTTATTAACCAACAATAGGGCTGACCTTTTTCAATAACTAGGTAAAACCAATTATTTTTTTAGTTGTTTTCAAATCAAAATTTCACCTATTTTTATACAGGAAACTGAGGATACAAAAAAACTTTAAAAATGAAACTTCAACTAAGTTCTTTATTTTCACTATGTAACCATACCTGAATTCTCAATTGGGTTCATTTCTGAAAAGTTTCCAGGCTATTTAAGTACTTTTGTAGAACTTTTCACAAAACCAGGTCTTTGATTTTTTTTTTCCAGTGGGGCATAGGGCATATCTTATTGAAAAATCTAATCCCTATCACCAAACCTTTCCCTGGCTTTAGGCACTAGACAATTTTCTAGCAAACTGATGTACTTTTTCTGGTTCATTGTCTCCTCGACTATGCGTAATTAACTTGTACTGTAAAAAGATTTTGCTCTCCAAACCATGATCATTGTAGAAAACTTCAGTTTTTTTAAATGCAGTCAGGTTTGAATTCTTTTTATGACTTTCATTGAAATGTCTGAACTCTATTATCAAACAATTGTTTGCAATTGTGGGCTTATCAGAAAAGATCATTTGGCACTTGTGATCTTCTCATATTTCAAATCATGTGCGTAATTTTATATTTCAGCCAAAATCATGTCAACATAAAGGTTTAGAAATTACTGATAAAAGGGTGTTTGTATATTTACCTTAGTTCAATTTTCTTTGCTGTGCCTTTATTCGCTCTGTCATCCTTGTTTTTTTTATTTTAGTCAATATACCTTAACTCTGAATTCTAAAAGGTTGTTTTTTGCAGCAACAAGCTAAAACCTTCATTTAGTTGCATTGCAATTTTTTTACAGGAGTTATTTGTATCTTTTAGTCAATTTTTGGTGTTGTGACCTGCTTTCTAACATAATTTTAAATTCTTGAAGAGTATCAGGGTTCCCACTATTAAAACTGAGGCTAAAAGCAAGGATTTTAAGGAGATTTAGGGAGATATTTTCCTAATATTTAAGGAGATTTGGTTGTGAACAACAATTTTTTGAAAGAAAAAGTAAGGAGAATTAAGGAGAAAACAGTTACATTAAAAACAGAATCTTGTTTTTTTTTCAATAAATTTTAAATATAACAGAAAAATTATTATAAATTAATATATTACTTTATTTATATATATAAATATATATATAATAGAAATATAGGTTTGCAAACTATCAAAGAACTATATATTTTATTCTTTACTAATAAGTATAATCCATTCACTTTAATAAAATTTATTTAATAAAATTTATGATCAAAAAACAATAAAAATAAAGAGAAATTAAGGAGAGCAGTCAAACTTTACCATTTTTTAAGGTTATTTAAAGACTTTTAATGAGGATTTTTTTACTTAAGGATATTTAAGGTTTTTAAGGAGGAGTGGAAACCTTGAGTATGATTTTGTTTTTGAAGCTTTTTTGTTCAAAAACGCAATTTGTACAGAAACATTTGGTTTGTTCTGCAATATTTGTCTGGTTCAGCCAATTGTATTTAAGCAAAACTGTTATTTTGTCAAATAAGGGTTTTAAAAAGGTTTCGAACAGTTATATTGCATATATAAGTTATATTGAACGTTTAGCTAAGTAGTCTGACATTATATTGATATAGCCGGGGACTTCAGTACAGTCATCAATAGTTAAATGACATTATTTTTACATAGCAATATATTCAAATATAATAAACAGATATTATTATATATAATAACAGTTACATAACAAAATAATAAATGTACAGCCAGAAATAAAAAAGTAAAAAATTTTTGTAAAAAAAACTTTTTTAGAAATTTCTTATTAAAACAAAAAAAAAACTTTTGTTGAAATAACTGTTTGAAATAAGTTTGTTATACTTGCTAAATCTATTAATAAACATAACAATTTAATATCAAACAACTTAATAAACAACTTAATAAATTTAAAAACTTAAACTCTGATACTAACCAAAATCTCTAGAGAAAGCTTCAGGACACCAAAGCTCTTTATTGAGATATTTATGAACATTTGACACAACAATAGGCTTAAAAAATAACCAATTAAAAACAAGTTTATAAAACTTTAAAAACATTTTATATATTGAAACAGAAGAGTTGTATAGTTATATATTATATAATATATATTATACTATTAATATAATATATATGTAATATAATTATAGTATAATTATGGTCATAACTAAATGGATTCACATACTGATATCACATACTGATATCATACTTCACACATTGATATTTAAAAAAAATTTATTATGTCATTTTTATGTTTTTATTACAGTTTTAAAAGTTAAAATTAAAATTAATTAAGCTAGATACTTTGTCGCGTTGGTTTGACAAGGTTCTAACTGATTTTTTTTATATTAGGAGAATAGCAAATAAATCTTTTTTTCTCTTTTTTAATATTTAAATATAAATTTTTATATAATTATTTTTTATTTATTCATGTATTTTTATACATCAACCGAAAAAAGAATATATAAACAAATAAAAAAACAATAATATAAATAGTTTTAATTAAATATTAAAAAGATACTAAAAGATTTTTTCTAAATTCTCCTAACATAAAAAATTTCAGTTAGAACCTTATCAAACCAACACAACGACTTATATCCAATAAAAAAATTATTCTTTAAAAAAATCAGTAAAAAACATACAGCTCCCTGTTTCCATTGCTTTTGAAAGAGTAACATAGTGGATTTAGAAAAATGTGGCGTTTGAATATGCAACATTTTTCTATTGCAGAACCATCTACACTCACTTTCATATTCATTGCAAACAGACTCAATTTTCTTATATTTGTCAAAAATGTTGTGAAATCGTTGTTCATTATCTACTTCATTCTGAAAAATAAAATAGATAAATAAGTATTAAAAATATTTGAAGAACAAAACAGATAAATATCTTTATATAAAAATATCTGAAGAACAACAAAAGAGATATAATAATATATTTATATTAAAATGAAGTAAAAACAACGCCTATTTAATAGAGAAAAAAAAAAAACAAGGAAAGTTGAGAAACAGAAAATAAAAATATGTCCAGTTTTACTAGCTTACTTGAACTTGTTTTATATTCTTTATAAGAATTTTATAAGAAGAGAAACACACAATGACATTTACTAACAAACCCAGATTGAGAGGAAACTTATTGAACATAACATTTAGTACTTAAGTAACAAACAATATCGTCTACAAGAACTTATAGAAAAACATCTCCTTTAGGATTATATAACAATCTTTATAAAAACTTACTTTAGACAACTTTAGAAAAGCATTTTCCGATTATAACTTACGCTAGCAATCCCATCTGAGAATCAAAATAGTATTTAAAAATAAAATTTTTTATAACTAATCACTTGACTGAGAAGCATAACTTTATAGCTTTCAAATAAAGAGGGGTGGCCCTAGGTACCCTATATATATATATATATATATATATATATATATATATATATATATATATATATATATATATATATATATATATATATATATATATATATATATATATATATATATATATATATATATATATATATATATATATATATATATATATATATAACACAGAGTTCCTGTCTAAATTATTAGAAGCAACAGTTTATTAATAATTACTAATTTTGTAATTTGTAATGCAACTTTTAAATTTAAACATAGATGTAATGGCTTTTTATTACGGAAATTTTTTTTAAATTTCCAACTTCTATTTATTTTTAATGTATGGCATCACAATATTACCCAATCGATACACAAATGTAAACAAGTAAAAACCTGTTTCAGTCAGGTAACCTCCAACATCCACATCTTCTACATTTCTGGTGAGAAAACCTGACCTTTTTTTTTTGCAATCAATATTAAGTACTTAATTAAAAAAAACTGCATTGTTTAAGCAACCTGTTTTTAAACTGCATTTTTACAGTATGCAGTTATTTGTTTACTTTGTATGCAGCCTTTCAATAATCATTTGGAAATTTTCATTATGGTAAAATAGACTTTGTTTGCATATTTTTTAAAAAACTTATCTTTTGCCATGTAAAAAAAGCTGAAGTTAAAAAAGGACGTTGTTAATGTTAAACTAGTGTCAAACCACATAATACCTCAAAAAATGTTTTCAGAAATAAATGGTTTGTGAAGCTAGCATACAACTAATAACAAAGAAAATCAAGTTGGGGTAGGAGAATTGGGGTAAATCAATTCTAAAACAAATCAAAAGATGCAGCAGAGAGCCTTTCTTTTATTCCAGAATAATGTTTAAAGCAAAGTTTGCCTGAAAAACAGATTTGCTACCACAAAACTGGTAGATTTGTAACTCCAAGAATGCTTCTGAGCACACTGTTTGAATAAAACTAAAGATTTAGGTTTTAAGGCCTAACAAGAAGCTCAAATTAATAGCTGAAATGAAAACAAGCATCTGAAGTGGATCAAAGAGTAGTGCATTAAAGATTTCAACTTATGGAAATCAGTAAGTTCATATTATTACCTAATAAATGATACCTTGCATATCATTTTCTTTGAAATAAAGAAATACCAGCGCAAATGTTTGGGATATTTTTTTTCTTTCTATTTTTTATAAGGTCTGCTTTAACGATAAAAACAAAATTGAAATTTCGAACAATAAAGCTTTGTGCATCTTTTTCATGTTGAAAAATTTCATTCTGACTACATCATTTAGGCGGATAAGCACCGTACAAAAATGATGATTTACTAATGAGTGCTCTCATTGGTAAATCATCATTTTCAATCTCTTGAAAATTGTAAATTTTAAAAGAAATGATTTTCATGATTGTTTGACACAAACAAGTACTTCTCTACAGCATTAGACCCCCTTCATCTCGACTACAAATGTTGTATCAAGTTGGTCTATACTTGCTAATAGAAAGCAGTCACTTAAATTTTTAGCAACAGTTTTTAAAATAGTTAAGTTTAAAGGTGTAAAGAGCTTATGAAATTTAGTTTGCATGGTACTTACCAATAGACATATTGAACATACCTTAAAACTTTGCAAACTCAATTAAACTTTTTAACAAAACTTATAAATTACTTTGTCATCAAAAAAAATGAAAAATCTGCCTCTTGCAGGCCTAATGATATCTAATGATATAATATTTTTTGCCAAAATTGCTCTAGTAGTAACAGTTTTACAATTTGAAAGTGGTCATATCTCTTAAGGTTTCGTATAGCAGAGGTGTATTGGAGGCGTTATGAGGGTTTATTGGAACCATAGGTTTAAACAAATATTTTGATAAATGTTTTAGTTTAACTTTTTAATAATAAAATAAAATTGTCTTCAATCAGCACTCTTAAGTTCAATAGAATGTGCTGCATCCTAAATTTAGATCTTCAATTTATTTCCGATTTGAAATTATTGGAGAAAATCATTTTACACTTCAGACCTTTTGGAGCATGAGCACAGTAACATCTTTAATATATATGTGCTTTAATATAAATTAATTTTAAAAAAGTAAATTTTAAATCACTGTTACACCTCCAATACACTTGCATACCTAATGTATAACTAGTTTGAATTAAAAGCTAAAAATGTTAGAAACCTTTTAACTTAAATACATACCATTTCTGTACTATTTGGAACAGCAGCAAAAGGTTTTAAATCTAAATTAGTTTTGGAATGTGAGAACTCCAATAGATCTAAGTCATAAAACTTCAATCCAATTTGCCTGCATACTTGGAGTAAATCATCACGAAGATCAAACAAAACTAGTAAATGTAACAAAATAACAAGTTATAAATAAGTTATAGATACTTTTTTTTGTCCTTTTACAACTTTTTACTTTTCAAAAATGTGTGTGTGTATATATATATATATATATATATATATATATATATATATATATATATATATATATATATATATATTTAAACAATTTTAAAAAATGTATTCTACAAAATAGAGTGCTCAATGTTCTTGAAAGAACAGAGCAATTATAAATTAGTAAAAAATCATTTAACAAAAATTTTTTGTTTTAAAAAAAAGTGTAAAATGAAAAAATTTTTGTTAAGTGATTTTTTACTAATTTATATATATATATAGTAGTAGTAGTAGTAGTAGTAGTAGTAGTAGTAGTAGTAGTATAGTAGTAGTAGTAGTAGTAGTAGTAGTATAGTAGTAGTAGTAGTAGTAGTAGTAGTAGTAGTAGTAGTAGTAGTAGTAGTAGTAGTAGTAGTAGTAGTAGTAGTAGTAGTAGTAGTAGTAGTAGTAGTAGTAGTAGTAATAGTAGTAGTAGTAGTTTGTTTAAGAGCATCAAAAAATAAAAATTTTAAAAACCTTTTCTCGGAATAATCTGAGTAACAGTAAGACTTTCAGTGTTGTGAAACAAATATTCACCATTGTATTGACAAAATGGCCACTTACTGTTACATTTTCCTGAAACATTCAAGTTAAAAAAGATTTTTTTTAAACTTCTTATTAAAACTTCTTTTAATGAACAAATATTTTATTAAAAACAGCAATGCGTAAAAACAACCTTTACTATTTTCATAATTAAGTGTGCTCAAAAAACAGTCTAAGCAAACAGCAAAGCCACATCTATCACATGTCCAATGCGTATTAAACATAGTTGTCGCACAAATATCACACATCTCACGCACTTGAAGCACTGCCCTCTTCCAGGCTGTAGCGCCTAATATGAAAGTAAAAATAAATTGTTATTAAATCTATTACAAAACTAACTGAAAAAAATGACTAATTCTTAATCTTATTACCTGGTTTTCCACCCCAATTCATTGCTAAGGCTTCCTCTCGTACTAATTCTTGAAACTGCGTTCCAACATATTCAAGAATTTGTTTGCAAAGATTAGCATCAAGATTAGCTATCAAGTTAAAAATAATTAAAAAAAAATTTTTTTTTTTACTATCAATTTTTAGCAGTTTTCCTAACATATCAAGTGGCTGATTCAGTCATGTTTAATATAGCAGTTTAAGAATTAAATTAAAGCATTTAAATACAACAAAAATTGAAAAAGATTTTTTCCCCTTTTTACTAATTTCACCAGTTTCATAAATCACTGATAATTTTTTTTTTAGTTTATACTTTTGTGACAACATCTGTATAAAAAAACAGGAATGGTCTAGTAAAATAATAATAAAAAAGAATGCACTATAAATTTTGATATATATATATATATATATATATATATATATATATATATATATATATATATATATATATATATATATCAGGCTTGGTCGGGAAGCGGGAGCGATCGCTCTTGAATACTGACCACGGAAATTATATTTAGTTGCGAAAAACTGGCCAGGTTTTTTATCGTTTTGAGAACATTTAAGTTTATGTGTGAAACAAAAAATTTTTGTTTTACGAACATACTCAGAAACCTAATAAATTTGAATGTTCTTAAAATGTCTTGGTGCGGAAGAATAAAAAGAATATTCGATAACACTAAAAACCCGCCAAGTTAACGAACAAACTAATTTTATTGGTTCAAAAAATACGCTGACTAAGCAAAATGAAGTTCTAGAGTATTCTGTTGAAATGTATTATTCACGATTTGTCACATTTTGAAATTTCTAGCATAAATTATTATATATATTATATCTTGAATATACTATCAATACTATGGCTCATTTTCGGAGCCACATCTGCAAAGCCATGAATCTTATAAACTATTATTTGTTTACAAAAATAAATGTTTTAAATATATACTATTTAAATTATTAAAATTTTGAAAGTTATTCAAATTATAGATTTTATTAGTATATTCTTATTTTTTATTTTAAAAGTATGTATTTTTTATGTAAATGTAATTTTGTGTATCTGTTTTTTATCGTAATGCAATCTTTTAAAGCAATTTTTATGATTTAATTTGTAAACAAAGACTTACAAAAATAATTGCGTTTTCAATGAAGTTATTAATAATCATTAAAGTTAATAAAACTAATCATGTAACAATCATAAGAAGTTTTTGGTTACTAAACACAAACAATGCATACAAAGTAACTCGCTGATGAACAAGCACCGCGCCTGAGGTCGCGACAGAACACAAATATATATAGCAAGTTATTAGATATAAAGAAAAGTTTGTAGAGATTGGTCTAAATATTTTCGCTCAAGTTGCCATTCTTAAAAACTGATCATGGTTTGGTCACTCTGATCATGGTTTGGTCTCTCTAAAACTATTATCTCATTCTTCTTTACCATTAGAATCCCCCTATCATCGTACATCTTACAACTACCTTAAAGCTGAATGGGACTCTTTTTGTGACTTTCTTCGTCATGGCCCCTGGGTAGAAATCTTTCGTCTCCCTGTTGACAAATGTGCTTCTTACATAACTTCGTGGATTCAGGCTGGCATGGAATCCTTTATTCCCTCTCAACGATTCCAGGTCAAGACTCACTCTTCTCTATGGTTTTCCTCACATTGTGCTGCTGCAATTGCCAATCGAAACCATTACTTCCATATCTATCAGCAAAACAATTCTCCAGAAAACAGACGTCTCTTTATTACTGCTAGGAACCATTGTAAAAAGGTTTTGTCTAACGCCAAAACCCGCTATTCTCAGATCATGAAACCTCGTATTTCATCACAAAAATTAGGCTCTCGTGACTTCTGGAGAATCTTTAATAGTATCAATAATAAGGGCAAGTCTGTAACTCCACCTCTTTTGTACGGTTCAGACTTTGTCACCTCACCTAAAGACAAAGCTGAATTGTTTGCCAAGAACTTTTCATCAATATCATCTCTTGATGCCACTAGTTGCATTTTACCTCATATACCCGTCAAACAGGTTGATCCATTGCTCGACATTCGTATCACTCCAGCTTCTGTATCTAAAGTGATTTCCTGCTCAGACTCTCCTACAGCTTGCGTCCCGGACAACATACCTGTTATAGTCTTGCAGAAGTGTTCTCCTGAGCTGTCGTCTATCTTTTCAAAACTATTCAACAAGTGCTTATCAGAGTCTTGTTTTCCAGGCTGCTGGAAAGCAGCATCTGTTATCCCTATTTTTAAAAATTCTGGAGAGCGATCTGACTCATCTAACTACCGCCCCATTAGTCTTCTTCCTATCATAAGCAAGGTTTTTGAATCTTTAATTAACAAACACTTAATCTCTTATCTCCAATCTCATAACCTACTTTCTGATCATCAGTATGGATTTCTATCTTCTCGTTCTACGGCTGATTTGCTATCAGTAATAACCGATAGGTTTTATCGCGCATTAGATAAAAGTGGAGAGGTTAAGGCCATTGCTCTTGACATTTCTAAAGCGTTTGATAAAGTTTGGCATGCTGCTCTCCTCCATAAGCTTTCTTCTTATGGTGTATCTGGAAACATCTTTAAGATTATTGAATCCTTCCTTTCCAATCGTTTTTAGTATAAAAGTTGTCCTTGATGGACAGCACTCTTCTTCTTATTCTGTAACCTCAGGGGTTCCCCAAGGTTCAATCCTTGGCCCTATACTCTTTTTAATTTACATTAACGATCTTCCAGATATTCTCACATCTAAGGTGGCATTGTTCGCTGATGATACTACCATTTATTCTTGTCACGATAAGAAGCCAACTCCCTCTGATTCCTTGCAGGGGGCATCTGAGCTCGAAAAGGATCTCACTTCTACTACAGCATGGGGCTCGCAGTGGCTGGTGAACTTTTATTCAGATAAAACTCAATTTTTTTCGGCCAATCGTTATCGCAATAATTTAGACCTTATTAACTTTAATTTGTAAAATAATTTAGCTTAGATAAAACTAAAACTTGCAAACTTTGTTAAATAAAGAACATTTGTTTCCTTTTTAAAAAATCGTAAGATCTTACTTTATATAAAAAACGTCGCTTAATTTTATAAAAATTATAAAAAAGCAATGTTTCGAAAATATTTGTTCTAAACGTAATTTATTTTGCTCGCGTTGAAAGGTATTTTATTTTCCAAATTTTTTTTTTTGTAATTGTCTCGCATTAGTCCAACTAATCTTCTGCGCATTTTTTTTTTTTGCTTTTTGAAATGTTCTCAAAACAGCTATAAAAATCTGGCTAGCTTGGTCGGGAATTGAGATCTATGATATATATATTTTTTGTTTGGTAACATTTACTTAACTATCTAGATATTTTTAACCGGTATTTTAATGAAGTAGTTAACATTTTATAAACCTGCACACCATTATGACAAAAGTTACTAATACATAAAACATGGTCACTATTTACAAATATAATAAAATCTGATAAAATGAAAGAAAAAAAGGTTTTAATTTTTATAAAACTATTTTTTTTTTAGTTAAAATATCTAAAGGATCAAAATATTCAGCTACAGAACAAAAACTTGTATATCGTTTTAATGCAACCTAAATAAACAAAAAAAAAACTAGTCTAAAAGAACATAAAGAAATTTAAAAAAACTAATCTAAGCAAAATAATCTAGCAAGCATGTGAATATTTATTTTCACAATGTTAGTTTTATAAGTTATATTTGTTCAGGTATTAAAAATACAGTGACAACCAAAAATAATAATTATTTTTTAAAATAATTTCTATATGAATGATTTTATCACTTGACAGACGCAGGCTTCATTAAAAGCATGTACACTTAAAATAAGCTAGTCTTTATTCAAGCAGGGGTGGAACCTCCAATTTTTCTCAACTAAAATATTGTATGTCATACTTGAATCATCCGCTATGATAATAAGTAGTCCATTATTTTTAATTTTTTGAGTTGTTTTCTCAGGTGAAAAAACAGAAGAAAAAAAATTTAATTGACAAACTAAAAACTTTTTATATTGAAGATCAACACTTCCATATCATGATATTAAAAACACTTTATGGTTGCTCAAATTCTTCTTTTTGCATAAATAACTACTAATAAAAATATAAACATTACTTTTTAAAAGAATCCCCAACTGCCGAGACAAGTTGTGTTCATATTATAGAAAATGTTAAAAAAAAACATTTGAGCTAAATTTTTTTGATTAACACTATATAATGAATGCACACCATTAAATTTAAAATTCACGTTTTAGTCGAAGCTCGCCATTTCCATTTTTTTTTTGGTTCTCAGAGTCTGTATAATGTTAGCAGAAATCTGCAGACTTGATAGTTTATTCCATGCATGTTTAATTCATAACAGTTTTGGTATATGATGTCATCGTATAAGTTTTATTTTATTAAGATCTCATATTATTTTTTTGCCACAATCACTAAATCTTGTTAATTGTATAACTTTTTAGTAAATCCCAAAAAAAGTTTATGATGCAATTAAAAATTAAATTTATAAAATTTATATAAATAAAAATTTAATATATAACGAATATTTACAGTAAACGTAGTGGTTTAAACTAAATATAAGCTAGATACTAAAAGAATAATTTTACAAAAGTGTATAAATTAATTTAAAGTATAAACTGAAAAAAAAAAAAACAATTGACTTGAATGAAACATAAACTGAACTAAGTAGAAAATAAATATTAAACGACTTATTTTACTAATAACCGTTCAAATCAAACTAAATTAAAGTTTAAACAAGTATTTGTACTAAAATATACAAGATAGTGTAGAAAATATAAATATAAAAACAAAGAATTGCATTAAATTTTTTGCTACCAGCCGAACAAAAATCTTTTTGTAGCAACCGCTCATTTTTTTGATTAACATTTGAATAGAAAATAATTTGAATACATTGACAATTAATTAAAATTCGATAAAAATAAAGTTTTCAACACGCATCATTAAACAATAATAAAACCAAAGTGCATAAAACTATTGTTTTTGTAATTAGTAACTAAAACATTAAGTCTAAACAAACCAAAAATATTTTTTTTTCAAAATACTTTGGTAATTACTTAACTAAATACTTAACACTTCTACAAGTTAAGTTTTACAGTGTTAACGCTGTTATATTTTATAACTAAATTTAAGTTTTTTATGAAGGATTATTCAAGATTTTTTAACTTTGTGATAACTTTTTTATAATTACACAATATAGCTCTTTTTTTTTTTTTATTATGTAGAGAATTAAACCTTCAGAACAAATTCTATGTGTCTAGAATGAAAATTTATGTACAAAACAAGATAAATTGTAAAGCATACTCAAAAGACGCTACCAGTGGCTTACGGTAGTGAAAGAGTTAAACCATAACTAAATGTAAATTTAACATAAAAGAAACAACTCTATTGAACCATATGAGCTAAATATAAAACAAAAAACCGCATCATACTGCCTTTATTTTTTCTCTACCTGCAAACTCTAATAATCACAAAATATGTATAATTGTGTCATGATTTTGGCTGGCTTCTACAATAAAGTAATAATAACAAATATAAATAACAAATATAAATATAAATATAAAAGTAATAATAAATAAATATATATATATATATCAGACCTTGTGATGAATAAAAACTGCGCGACACATAAGCACGACGTGATTTTTGACGTCATTAAATTCTTTTTATTTGCTTTTCATATTTATCGGCACCAATTTACTTAATTACCACAAAACTACTTTAAATCATTAATGTAGAAATGTTATTATTTAAAAATGTTTTGGAATGTTTCGTTTTTTAAAATGTAAAAACATTTGTTTATTTTCTCGACGCTTGACACGTTTTGTCTATACTAAACAAATAAAAAACATTATAACTAAACATTTAAAAAAGATTAAAAATATACTAATATTTGATTTTTTTTTTCTCAAATATGTCATTTAAAGTTTTTAAAATAATTATTTTTTCTTTTTAAAAAGTCAGCGAGTAATAAACTGGAAATTTTAATATTGCACGATTAAAAACTGTGCAATAGCTAATATTTTTACCAGCGATTTTATATAATATTTTTTTATTTATTTATTTTCATAAAGCGGTTGATAAGCACAATCACTCGTATTACTAAAAAACTTTAACGAACGTTTTGAATAGATTTTACAAGGAATTTTATTTCTAGTGAAATAAAATAAAATGTTAGAATAAAAATCTTATAGGTATAAAAGACATATTTCAGCGAAAAAATTTGCATATTGAACAATATTTAGTAAAAGGCTATTGCTGAATAATTTTATTAAAATGTTAGCTTAAAAAGATTTAAACTTTTTTTTAATCTGAATTTTTCTACTTTACATTATTTTTTCTACGTAAATAATGAGCATATTTAATTTTTTTTGTAATTCAAACTTTTATATCAACTGCGTGCGGTTTTTAAAATACTTTATTAAATGTTAAAATAATCGTAAATTACTTCATTAAAATTCCGCTCAAAAATGTCTTTAAATATACGCAAACAAAAAATTTTTTGCTCGACACAAATAGCCCTAGCTACACACAAAATCGCTCTTGGACGACGTAAAATTCACATCGCCCGACGCTTTATCGTAAGACCTGATATATATATATATATATATATATATATATATATATATATATATATATATATATATATATATATATATATATATATGTATATATATATATATATATATATATATATATATATATATATATATATATATATATATATATATATATATATATATATATATACATGCATATATATATTTGTATAATTTTTCACTGTCACAAATATTTTTTGTGATTTAGTAAAAAATTATACAAATGTTTAATTTTCTGATTGTAGTAGAAAAAATACTTTAAAAAAACAACAACAAAAAAACACTATGTTAAAAAGATATTGCGATGACGTCATATACCGAAACTGTTATGAATTAAACACGCATTGAATAAATTACCAAGTCACTAACATTATACAGACTCTGAGAACCAAAAAATATGGAGACGGAGAGTTTCGACTAAAACAATAATTTTAATTTTGTTGGTATGCATTCATTTATTTAGTATATTTAGTTTCAATCAAAAAAATTAAGCCCAAATGATTTTTTTAAACATTTTCTTTAATATAAACACAACATGTCTCGGCAGTTGGGGATCCCTTTAAATAAATTGACAAGCTGCTTCTATGAAAATAAAACAGGTTATATTAGTATTAAAAATCGAACAAGAAATTATAAATAAACTTCAAACCAATAAAAGACGCCACAAAATTTTTTTGTGATATACTACTCCCAACTTATTGTTTGACTGACTTATGAAGAAAATTTTTTATTCAGCTAAATTTTTTATTCAGCTACTGAACAAGTTTTTGTTCTGTAGCTGAATATTTTGATTCTTTCGATATTTTGATTAAAAAAAAAATAGTTTTATAAAAATTAGAACTTTTTTTTCCTTGATTTTATCAGATTTAGAAAATAGCGTAGAGCAAAAAAAGTTAAAAACCACAACCAAAAAGAAACTTAATGTTTAATAAATGTCATTTGTTTTTTTTTCATTTTCTAAAAATTGTTTGAAATATTGTTTGAAATTATATTAGAAATTATTAAATTTTTTTAAAGATACATATGGATTTTAAGTAACTTTTACCCATCAATAATTATCAAATAAACAATAACAAGATAAAAGAGTTACTTTTCGATTGGTCAAAAATCCAATGTAAAAGATCACTATCAACAGCATCATCAGGTGTACAAAAGCCATTAGATTTACCGGAGTCCAATCTGAAAGTTAATCATACACTGCATTGATAATTTAACAACTAAGGAAAAAAACCTTATTGTAGTTACAATTATTAATAAAAAAAAAAAACCTTCTAAACATGATGAAACGACAAAATGACTTGCCAGCATCTGATTGGCAGTCAATGCAAAAAGGTAAATCGGGATAGTAACTGCAAGAATTAACTTGAAGATACGAGTCTACATTTACATAATAAATAAAAATTTATAGCTGGTTTTTTATATATATATATATATATATATATATATATATATATATATATATATATATATATATATATATATATATATATATATATATATATATATATATGTTTCAATGTCATATCTTGTTGTACATAAATATATATATATATATATATATATATATATTTAAAATATAAAGCATAAAACAACAGCTGCGTACAAACTAAATTTTGCTGTACAAAAAAATTTAGTTTAAACGTAGCTGTTGTTTTATGCTTTATATATATTTTATATATACATACATATATATATATGTGTGTGTGTGTGTGTGTGTGTGTGTGTGTGTGTGTGTGTGTGTGTGTGTGTGTGTGTGTGTGTGTGTGTATTGTAATGGACTTAAATACACATTTTGTGGTCAAAAACAGGTCATAGCTTTGGTTATGACCGAGGGTTTGGTTAGGTCAGGCAGTCAATCAAAAAATTAAAAAAAAATTTTTTTAATTTTTTACGGTCTTTAAAATATTTTTTTTTTTAAAAACAAATAAATAAAATTTAAATATTGAACAATATTTAATAATATTTTCAAATAAATTTGACAAGTAAAGTTAAACCCAAGCATTAACTTCAATTTTAATAAACTTAAATATATTTTTTAAATCAAAATTAGATTTTTTTTTTTTTAATTAAAACTATCAAAATAATATATATATATATATATATATATATATATATATATATATATATATATATATATATATATATATATATATATATATATATATAATATATATATATATATTAAATTAAATCATATATTTTTTATCAAATTTAAATTATCATTATCTTTGCTTCAAGCTTAAAGTATAAGTATATATACTTATATATATACGTATATATAAGTACTTTCCAAAAAAATCAATCATTACAATAAAATAAAAGCAATAAAATTTTAATTTCATTTGAGTTTTTTTCATTAGTAAATAGTGCTTTTATCTAACATAATTGTCATTCAAACTTTTGTAACAAATATTTTAGAATAATTGTCATTCAAAATTTAATGGGATTTTTTTAAAAATTTATTACTTCTATCTTACCGCTTATAGAATAATTTAAAAGTTAAAAAAATGATAAAATGTTGCTTAACCAAAATTGCTTACTTCTTACATAAAGTCACTAAGGCATACATAAATCGCTCTATGCATAATGCTTTAAAACAAGGCCTGCAAACTTATAAGATATCTTAGATGTCTTATAAGATTGGTAACATAAGACTAATAAGATATCTCTTTAATAAGAGTGTGCAATAAGATATCTCTTTAATAACAGTGTGCTAATCAAATTATAGTGAAGCAGTGTACTTAGACAAACTTTTATTTTTTAATTTTATAATGGCAAAATGGTTACAGTAAAAAATTGATAAATAAGTGCATATTGTACACTTAGGAGTGAAGGGTAGAGGAAATGAAAAATTGCCAAAAAAACAGGTATTTCTTTAAATAGCGGTTCATCATACATTTAAAAAAAACAAACAGCAACCAAGGCAAGAAAATTACAATCCCCTAAATGTGTTCTTTATATACAAAAACACTAAAATTTCACACTAATTATATTCTCTAAAAAGAAATTTTTATCAAAAAACTTGTTTTTTGATAATAATTTTATGTTTTCAATGTTTAACACTTTTATTTTTAGCTGAAAATCAAATGTTTTAGGCAAATTTAAAATACAAATTTTTATAAAAAATAACTATTATTTTTAAAATTTTTATTTAAGTTTGCTTTTTTAGAGCACCAGGTTAAAATTATTTTATGTTTTGAATATACATTTATAAAGTTTTTTATTTATTTAAGAAGCGTTATCTATAAAAAATTCTCACGAAATTCACACATTTTTGGGTAAATTTACAGGTGCCTTTTTTACTAACATAAAGCGGTTACTTGTCAAAAAATTAAATGGGGACGGTTGTCACGTGTGACTGCGCACATTTTTTTAAACAGCTTATTCAAAGTCTTGGTTAATGCTATTGTTCAAAAGTACGACATCACAAGTTATATCACATGTGATAACAAAGTACGACATCACAAGTTGTATCACAGGCTGTATCTCCAAGAATATTTTGAGTTGTTTTGCTGCAATGGGTTTTTACCCATTAAATCCTGATATTTTTACTGATATTGATTAGTGTCCTAATTGTGTAACTGATCGCCCAAACCCACCTTCACATTATAATTCAAATGAAGAAATCGGCCTACTGTATTTAGTTTAACTAGAACCAAATAAAAAGTTTAAATAATATATTCTGATACCGGCTAATCAGCTAGACAGAAGTATAAAAGATTGTATCAAATAAAATCTCTGATCATGATTCCAATAACTAAATAAATTCAATCATACCACCTGAGAGTATTAGGCCTCTGCCTAAAAAAGGTAAAAAGTCAAATTTTGCTAAAAAAAGCACTTTGACAGTTTTAAATTTAGCCAAAGATGCGGTAGTGGATGTAGTGGTAAAGCGCTTGAGGACGCACAACAGGCTTTGCTGCAGTTTATTTTCAAAACATGTTTTTCTTGCAACAAAACACTATTTTCAAAAACGCTTATTACAGTATAAGTTGTGTTTTAATTTTGAAAGAAAACTTTTTTCAGTTTTTCTTTATTTATAATAAGATTATTCCAAGATTAATCCAGGCCAAGAAGAAGAGGAGAAGTACCTCGCTCAACTTCTCTGCACAGCCTCGCTCAACTTCTCTGCACAGCAACCTTATTTGTAGAGGTTAGTGTTTTGGAGTTAGATAACTGAGAGAGGGATGTAACAATAACTAGTCTCCTTGACTAAAGTGTCCTCGGTTTAAGAGCGGTGAAATGGTTAAAAAAAATTTTTTTTGTTTTGTTTTCAGAATAAACTTATTATTATCAAAATTATTCAAAAAAAATTAAGTTGTACTTAAATTTGCATTAACTGGTTATAATCTAAACATACCAATGAATGTGATAACCAACCCCACATTTTGTGACAACCAATCACGTAGTTGGGGATGGATGTCACACAGTTGATGTCTTTGAAAAATGATTTCACAACAAAATATATTTAATTCAATGTCATGAAACTGTTGTAATAGTTACCAGAAATAGTAAAACTTGGTGCAAAGTTTGGCTTTGATTAAAAGCATTATGTATCCATAACAGCAACAAAAAAAGTTTTTTATGTGTAATTCTTTTATTTTTAATGTTGCAAACCTATAGCTTTATTATTATTGCAAGTACTGTAGTAATTACATACTTTTTTATTATGATAGAAAACTCTATTATACTTAATTCTTTACATTTTTTATTTGTAAGTTTTTATAAAACTTACAATGATTGCATGTTTTTATCTCAATCATTGCTTGTTTTTATCTCAATCATGTATGTTTTTATATCAATCATAGCCCCATTGTGTGTATTTACCTCATTCAATCACGTTTTTTTTCTCAAGTATTTTATCAACAGTTTCCTCTGTCTGGTACTTGGCTTGATATTTAAAATTTTTTTTATGTAAAAATTGAAGTTTTTATAATGTAAATTTGTTGAATCTCTAATCTCAATTTAATAAGTCCAAAAAAAGTGATCCATTATATTTATATTCTTGCTTAAATCTTTTTCTATTTTAGGTCTTTTTTTTTTTTCATTTTTAGAAATTTTATTTTTTTTTAATTTAAAAGCCTTTGTTTTTTCATTTAGAATTAAAAAAAAAAACGTTTATTTTGCTGCTGTTGCTTTTTTTTAATTAATTTGTTCAGAATTTTAATTAAAGTTTTTAAATTTTGCTTTGTTTCATTTATTTAAATTATTTTATTTACAGTATTGTGCAAATTAATTGCATCAAGCTAAAAACAACTGTAGAACTTCGTTTATTACAGTTTTGGTAATAACAGTTCATATCTAATACTTAATATGTCCTCCCCATGATGCAATTACACTTTGCACACGCTGTGGCATAGAATACACCAGAGTTTGACACAAGTTCTTCAATTCTTCATTGTGAAATCAGATTTCCATTATGGCTTCTATCGGCTTCAGTTTACTGGTACAGTCACGAGTTTTAAGTCTCTTCTTAACTATACCCCATAAATTCTCAATGGGATTAATATCAGGTGAATTGCCTGGTCAATTTAGAGTAAAAATTCTGCTGTCTTCAATGAATTTGGTGACTTTCTTTGATGTGTGAAACGGTGCTAGGTCCTGCTTAAACACACCGTCACCGTCAGGGAACTGCTTCGCCATCTCTGATATCAGTTTGCTCGTCAGAACATCGAAATAGCCATTGGAATGCATCATGCCAGTCACAGGCTGAAGTGCTCCAGGCCCAGCTGCTGTGTTAGCTGATGTCAAAAGTTGCTTCTTGGTGGGCTTTCTAGCTGGCCGCCCAGCACAGGCAGTCTCCGCCTAACAGTGTTTGAACAGACACTGATACAATGACTTTCAAGATCATTCCTGAGCTGGGCACTTGTCTTCTTGGGGTTTTTCTTACTTTGCTGTAGTAGAAAACGATCATTCCTAGCTGTAGTCTTTCTATTTCAACCACACCTGCCCAATCGCTTTAGAGAAAAACCACCAGTTTCTCTGAACAGCTTGAACACTCGGCTGACGGTAGACTGGTTGACATGGTATAATTCTGCAATCTCTCTTTGACTTTTTCCAGAATGTTGAATCAAAGTTACGAGTTTAGAACGTTTTCTAGGTGTTACATCCATATTTGTTTAACTATGCTAAAGAAATAAAATAAGAACTAAATAAGAGCTCACATGTAGGTTTTTTGTAATTTTTTTAGGTTGATGCAATTAATTTGCACAATACTGTAGAATTTAAACAAAGCATTTTTTAACCTGTTAATTACTTAATTTATTTGATATGTAAAACAGAATCAATTTTTTAAATTGAGCAAACGAACTTAATAAAGATCACAGTAAATTACAAACAGTGAAAACTCTAGACGTTTGTCAATAAATATTGATATTTATTTATAAAAATTAGTTAAAACCAAAAAAAATCTAAAAAAACTTACAAACGTATATCAACTTTTCATAAAAAATTTTTTCTTCTTTTAGATTTCATAAAAATTAATATTTAGAAAAAAATAATACTTTCACCTCAACATAAGAACTAGGCTGCAAAAATTTGCCAAACTCAGGCAGGCTGCAGTATTGCTGTCAACTTGCTGAGACATGCAGTAACTTTTTCACCATGATTTGTGTTTTATAGTCATGCTTGAGTGACTTTTAAAAGGTTAAAATTTTAAATAAATAAAAATATTTGTAAACCTTGAGAAAGTGAGTTCTAGATCAACATGGTACTAATATATTCTTATATTGGTCTTATAATACTAATATATTCTTATATTGGTTTTCATTTAATTTTTGTACTTTAACTTTTAAAATGCTAGTTAATTCTATCCAAATAAAAACTTTTCTTAATACTTAGATACTGCCTACCCTGGACCAAACCCTCAATCAATTTATGTAATGAAATTCCTACAAATGTTTATTTCAGTATCCATGACATTTTATTTGCTGCTTTGATACTTTTATATACATTTATTGATACTTTTATACATACACACATCTGTGTGTGTTTGTTTTTAATTTTAATTAACTTTTCTAGAAATTTAGATCTCAAAAATATAATTATCTATAAAAGCAGTCCTAAATATCCAATAATAAATAATATGTAATTACATATACAGTTAATAATGCAGTCTAAAATCTGCAGTAGTAAATAATACATTAATATATAATAAGTAATGAATTAGGTAATGGTGTATATTGAAATTATCATATATTTAAAAATATTTAAAATATCATACCACCTCCATTTAGTTTATCTAAATTTTTTGGAAAACGAAATCTGTTTTTTCTTTGATTTGTAACAAAGTTGTCTGTTTTTATTGTCTTATCTGTCATATCTTTTTCCAGTGGCGATTTAAAAGTTTGGTCTTTTAAATTTAGAAATGATTTATTGCAATCAGTTAAAACTACTTTAACAGGACTTTTGTATAAATTTTCTTTTGGGCTAATTATATTAATTAAGTCAAACATCTTACTATAATTGTTTTTATTTTCTAAACATTTTGCAACATCCTTCAAGGTTGCTGATGGCAACAAATACACCTGGCAAGCTGAAGAGTTATTGGACCTTGATGTTTTTGTATCTTTAGTTACTGTAGTTATTGAAACACTGTGTGGAGAGGAAGCCAATTCATCTCTTTTGATTTCATTAGCTTTTTCTACAAATACATCACTGCACTGTTCACCTCTTTGGACTTTGTCATGCATTATGGTCTTTAATTGAATATAATTAGGTGAAACATTGTTTTGATATGGACTGTGACAAAAAGACTGCTTACTCTTACTGTGGTAATTAATGGGCACACGATAATGAGGAGAAAGATTTTCAGCTGTTGAATAACTGATGGAAGGTGATTCACTTCTAGGTTTCTTATAAATGAATGATTGGATTTCTGGCACAGTATTATTTAATAAACAAACATTTTTACCTGTTAACTTATGTTGCATATCATCTTCGTTATATTGATCATTTTTCTGACATTCTCTGATTCTCATAATTGTGTTGTTTATAGCGCTGCGTTGACTTCTGCGACCAGATTCAACACAAGACACTTCAGAAACAATTTTCTTAGCATTATCTGAACTGTCTTTCTCTAACAATCTCTTTCTAGATTGTTTGACTTTTTTTTTTTGTTCAGAATCTGGACATTTTAGTTTATTGTACATTTTTTGATTGGTCATTGAACTAGTTGTAGCAGAGCTAGGCCCATCAACTTCATATTGAAGCTTTACTGTTTTATTATTGGTTTGACTGAATTCAATACAACTTTCTGTTCCCAAATTAGCAAATGTAGAACTTTTTGATTCTATTTTTATTGAATCTTTGAATGTAGAAATTTGTTTCATCATTTTGCTTGCAGTTTTATTTTCATTATTTTTATCAGTACATTTTCTTTTTCCACTATTTAGGATAGGCTGGACATTTTCACTAAACATTGCATTATGTGTTTTTTTATCCATTATGGATTCTTCTAAGTCATTCATTAGTTTATTTTTATGATGCCCAGTAAAATTAGGCTCGTTGAGATTAAAACATTTTTTTAATGAATTTGTATTAAGAGGTATTGATTTTGTTTTTTTTGATGAAGATAAAAACATGTTTGGTTCAGATGGTAAAACACTTTTTTTAGTACCAAACTTGCATAGTTTAAACAGAATCTTGCTTGGTTTAGAATCACAATTAGCTGAATACAAATTTATTTTTTGACCAGAATGTTTTAAATCAGTTTGTTTACCAATAGCAACTTGGTAAGGAACCTCATCACAATCTGATTTTTGTAACATTCTGGACGCTTGTTTATCAATAAAAGTTTTGTCAGAGTTTGAAGGTAAATTGTAATCTAAAACGATTGAAGGTAAATTGTAATCTAAAAGATCTGAAGATAAATTGTAATCTACAACGTTTGAAGGTAAATTGCAATCTACAACGTTTGGTATTAATTTATCACTATAGGCTTCACACTCTTCACTATAGACTTCACACTCTTCACTATAGGCTTCACACTCTTCACTATAGGCTTCACACTCTTCACTATAGGCTTCACACTCTTCACTATAGGTTGGACACTCTTCACTATAGGCTGGACACTCTAAAGTAGTTTCATCATGAACTGAGTTTTGTAAAACTTGCAGAGTTATGTTATTATTAGTAGTTTTATCAAAAATTGAAGGTTCTGAAGTAGTTTTGTTTTTATTGTAAATTAATTGTTCTGAAACTGCTGGAATCAGTTTACCAAAAACAGGTTTCTTAAACATTGAGCATTCTAATTTTGCATCATCATGAACTGATGGCTGAAAAATTGTAGGAACTAAGTTTTCTATGTTGAAAGTTGAGGGCAATGAAGTGGTTTTACCAAAAAATGATTGTTCTAAAGACATTGGAGTTAAATTATTAATAACAGTTTTGTCTGAGATTGAATTCTCTGGATAAGTTTTGTCATCAACTGATTGCTGAAAAGTTGTTGGAAGTAAGTTCTCTATATTAGTTTTGTTAATAGTTGGAGACACTAAAACAGTTTCACCATAAACTGATTTTTCTAAAAATGTTGGAATTAAGTTACTACTATTGGCTTTTTCAGAGGATGTAGATAATGAAGCAGTTTCATCATGAAATGATTGCTCCAAATTTAATTGAGGTGAGTTTTCTATAACATATTGATCTGCAGTTAAGCTTTCTAAAACAATTTCATTATAAACTGGTTGATGCAATTTTGTTGGCATCAGTTTATACATCGGAGGTTTATCAGAGGTTGACCACTTTAAAGAAGTTTTACCATAAACTGGTTGATGCAATTTTGTTGGCATTAATTTATACATAGGAGGTTTAAAAGAGGTTAACCAGTCTAAAGAGGTTTCACCATAAACTGGTTGATACAACTTTGTTGGCATCAGTTTATCCATAGGAGGCTTAACAGTAGTTGAACACTCTAACCTAGTTTCATTGTGAATTGATTGATGTAAAACTGGTATAGTTAAACTATTTTTTTCAAAAGTTGAAGATTCTGAAGGAGTTACATTGTAAACTGATGGTTCTAAAACTTTTGGAATAAATTTATCGACAACAGGTTTGTTAGATATTGAACATATTATTTCATTTTCATCATAAACAAACTGTTGAAAATCTGCTGGCGTTAAGTTCTCTATATTTTTTTTGTCAATAGTCAAAGATGCAACAGCCATTTCACCAAAAGTAGATGGTTCTGATGAAACATTTTCACCATAAACTGATTGTTGTAAATCTATTTGAGTTGGGTTTTTTATAGCATAAATGTCAGAGGTTGAACTCTCTAAAACATTTTCATCATGAACTGGTTGTTGTAAAACTGACACTAGTTTATTAATGACACATTTGTCAGAGGTTGAACACTCTAAATTAGCTTTATTGTGAATTGATTGATTCAAAACTTGTAGAGTTAGCTTATTAACAATATATTTATCAATAGATGAAGATTCTGAAGCAGTTACATTGCAAACTGATTGTTGTGAAACTGTTGGGATTAAGTTATTAATATTGATCTTGTGAGGCGTAAGCAATGATTTATGTAAATTTGTTGGAGTTAGGTATTGTAAAGCAGGTTTTAAAGCACATTTGTTAAAATAAGAACATTTAAAAATATTTTTTCCTTGATCTAGACATAATCGATATGGTATTTGATAAGGTTTTGTAGATAATTTATAAGACTTTAAACACTTTGTTTCATTACGTTTAAATAATTCATGATTTGTAGCTACTTCATCATGAAAAGATAATGATGTTAAAGTTAATTTATTCTTTAAATTTAAATTACTGTTTGCATTTGGAGAAAAAGTTTTGCCAACAGGAAAGAATATATTATCAACACAGGATACCATGGTATTGTTAAGAGCCTTGTAAGGACACTTAACTGCATTGTTATAAAATTTGATTTGCATTTTATTGTCATCAAAATTGGATGAAAGGTGTAAAGGTATATTTAAAAAGCTGCTATCGCAACTTAAAGGACTGGTTTTTGATGATTCAAAGACAGACTCTTTTGCAACCTTCAAATCTCTATTACCTAAAGAACTTTGGGAAACATACAAATCAAGATTGTCTGTAATTTCAATAATGCGCATACTTTTTTGAGTTTGATCGGCATCAAAGAGATCAAAATCAAAAAATTTTATCAAACGTTTTATATTCTTGCTCTCTTGTTCTCTTCTTCTCAAATCTCTTTTCAAATTTTCTTTGTCTTCATGTTTTTGAATAACTGTCCCATGATATCTAGGCGTCGTATTTTGGAAATTTTTTACATTCGGCTTGTCCGTTTTAGCTGAAGATTTACTGGAAATTAAAATATTTTTTGATAACTGATTAAGTAGTGTTTGAGAACATGGTTCAATTTGAGGACAATATTTGACATAAGTGTTATTAGTCATTTCAGAACAATGTTGCAACTGTCTTGTGTTATTAGCTTTTTTATGCAAAAAATTATGCTGCAATTTAGGTTCAAATACAGACGCTGAGTTACGCATGTTTTCTATAGTTTTTTTTCTAATCCGAGATGTATTGTGAAAAAATGAAGGAAGAAAGTTTGTACTTTTAACCTCAACATCTTTTTTGCTTTCCCCCTGCAGAGTTTGAATTACATCCTGTGTTTCAATGAATGGCGATGAAAACTTCATTTTTTTTGGTGCAGGTTGTTCAAAGATATAATTTGAACTACATCTTTTTATTACTGTATCTTTAAAAGACTTTTTATGGTGAATATGATTATCTCCAGAACAATATAAAGCACCTTTGGAATAATTTAAAGCATCTCCAGAATATAAATTTTTTAATGGAAATTTCTCCTTATCCTCTGCTGCTACTGTAAATGCAGTATTTCTAACGCTGGGTTTTTTTATTTTTGAAGTTGAATAACTGGATCGCATTTGTTTTGCAGAAATTTTTTCAAGTTTTGCCAACCCTGTGCAACATGGTTTAAAGTTAAAATATGGTATTTTATAACTAAGACTAGCATCTTCAAAAAACCTGCTATTTTGAATAGATGTATTGTTCAAAGATTTCAAAAATTTAATAGTCATTTTAGATAAATAACATTTTTTTTTAAATTTATCTAGTTTTTTTGTATAATTTGATTTGTTAGAAGTTTTAATTTTACTGAAAGCTGGGCACTGGGTGGGATACTTAACATCATTTCTCATTAAAGTAAAATGAGACGGCAATTTGGATTTTTCAATTAAAGGTTTTGAAACTTGATCCATTTTTGGCAATAATTTAAAATTCATTACATTTGTTGACAACACTGGTGTTGAACAACATGGTCGACTAAAAACTGTTGGTGTTTGACATGATGCCTGGTTAAAGACTGATGTGGTGCAAAATGACTTCTTGTTGAACACTGTTGTTAATAATTTTGTACCATGGCTCTCGCTATTAAGAGATCTTTGATTTTCAGATGATTTATCTTTTAGTATTAGATCATTTTTTTGTTTATTTTTGTAACTATTCAAGAAAATATGTATTCCATCAAAAATTACAACCCAAGTTAATATTAGATCACAAAGAGCTAGGTTGTGTATCATTACCTCTTTACCTTTTTGTAGATTGTTTTTTTGGGTTGCTGTAAAATATTGCTTTGAGGAAAGAAAAGGAATTCGGAGTAGGGCAGGGTAGCAAAAATTTGACTTATTTTTCTCCTGAGACAACACAAAAGTAATTTGAGAATAACAAGACAACAAATCATTAAAAACGTCAGATTTAACAAATGGATCGACTCCCCTTTGAGTTTGAACACTTCTATTTTTTTGTATAGTTGACTTTAGTTGTTGGTTGGTTAACTTTGATTTTAGATTGGATAGATCAAATATTTTTCTAAAAAAAAAAAAAAGGATAAAAAAATAAATAATTTTTATTAACTATTAAAAACTATGAATACTTTGATGTTCCTTAAACAATTGTTTGACTACTTACTCTCACTACTTTAATTGACATAATAAAGTAGTAAATAATAAAGTGAACTCAAACTCTCTAATAATCTTGAATAAATTGATTTTAGAATCCTAACAGATCATAAGAAATATAATGTTAGACATTAAATCCTAACACATTCAATCAATTAATATTTACACAAGCTTCTTGTTCAAAGTTCACTTAATTTACTTAACAGTAGGATTTATAAAACGACATTAAGAAACCATAAGAAGTCTTTATAAGAATAAGAATAAGATAGCTTGTCATATCATATTTACATTTGCATATATCGTGGAATTGTAAAATTTCATGGTATTCATATTATTAGTATTCTATAGTTTCTATTTGTGCTATATAAACAGGGGTGCAAAAAAAAAAAAAGCCACACATTTTTTTGATAAAAAAAAAAAAAAAAAAAATGTCTTAACCTCATATAATAAAAGTTTTCCAAGACAATTGTTATAGAAATGTATATAAGATTATTGTAAATTACATATATTGAAAACAAATTAGGATTTGTAAAGTATTTTTCAAGTTTTAGCTGTACTAGTACTTAATTGGCCATCTTTTGTTTCTTATGACTTCTGCGCATCTAGAAGGCATATCAATATTTACAAGTCATTTTAATAAGTTATTTCGAAAAACATTCCAACCCGCAAGAACAGTTTAGAACAGTTCATCTTTATTTGTTGCCCTACGATCTTGCAATTTATCATCCAATATAGACTAAAGATTTCGTATTGGATTTAAATCAGGAGACTGTGCTGGCCAAGACATAACTGGTATCAATTTTGATTCCAGATATTTTTTATTCAACCACGTCATATGTTTGGGATCGTTATCTAATTAATGCAGTAGTGGTTAAGTGGTAGAGTGCTCACTTCATAAGCGAGAGGCTCCGAGTTCAATCCCCATCACCTCCCTAGTAGCATTGCACTCAACTTGTTTCTCTGTGCAGTGACCTTGTTTGTTAAGGTTTGTATTTCAGAGTTGAAAGAGTTATAAACACAATTAAGTAGCCTCCTCGTCTGTAGAGGCCTTCTCAGCCTTAGGGAGGTGAATTAAAAAAAAAAAGTCTTGTTGAAAGATGTAGTCATTATTAGGGAAAATCTTCTATACTTGGTCAAAGTTGATTAAATAAGACTTTGTGATACAAATGTTGGTCCCCCTCTATCCTGTAAAGCTATCTAACTTTGTTGCACTAAAACAACCCAAAAAATTAATGTTTTTGTCATGTTTAATGGTTGCCTTACATGTTTGGGGGTAGAACTTTTCCCCAATTAATTGACCATTATAAAATAATAAAAAAGGAGACTCATCGCTCCAAATAACTTTAGCTGATTGCTCACATGTCCAACCTTTGTGCTCAATCCACCACTTTATTCTTTTTTTGTGATTGATTTCAGTCGCAAAGGTTTTTTTTATTTTCCAGCAAAAAAATCACATGATGCTTTTATTTGACGAGATATTGTCCATTTTGAGATATCAGTAAGTAAGGTTCTATTGTCCATTTTGAGATATTGTCCATTTTGAGATATCAGTAAGGTTCTATTGTCCATTTTGAGATATCAGTAAGTAAGGTTCTATTGTCCATTTTGAGATATCAGTAAGTAAGGTTCTATTGTCCATTTTGAGATATCAGTTCTTGAGATATTCAGGTTCTAGTTCTAGTAAGTTCTAGTAAATCTAGTTTTATCTCAGAACACTTAATTTTACGATCTTTTTTGATGGCATTAGGAATATAGCAATCTTCCTTTTTTGAAGTTTTTCTCCCAGATCCAACAGACCTTTTAGCTGTACCAATATGTTTATATTTCTTCACCAATAGTTGACTAATAGTTGAGTTTTGTTGTTTAAAATGCTTCAAATGCTTCTGTGAGACTCTCCTTGGTCAGCAGCTTTAATAGTTTGTCCATTTTCAATATCAGCTAGTTGTTTTCTAAAATTAATCTGTTTTTTAAAGATTTTATTTATATAAATACAAGTGTATATATAAACATACCTTTTTTGTCCAAGAAATTTCACTACCACATCCAATTATTTTAATTTTGCTTCATTATACATTATATACTTGAAATCAAGAAAAAATGTTAGTATGGCTTTTTTTTTTGCACCCCACTGTATATATATTTTTATAAATGTAAGTATGCAATGTAAAGTACTATTTGGTTCATAAGTATGTAGTTGTTGATTTATCAAGATATTATTCCAATTTGTAACAATTACAAGTGAAAATGCGAAATAACTTCATTGCATTAATTATTAACATTATTGTGAAGTAGGCTCCATTACTACTGTGAGTGAAAGAAACGAATCTGATGCCAGTATTCAAAAAATGCAGCAGAACAAAGTCATCAAACTATAGACCCATCACGCTCACATCTTGTACATGTGAAAATGTGGTATGTAAAATTATGGAAAGAATAATAAAAATAGTAATCTCAAAACATCTCATTGAATTGCTCTCTAAACAACAGAAAACTACTCTCTGAACAACAGAAAATTGCTTTCTGAACAACAGCACAGATTTGTTAGAAATAAACCTTGTCTGATGAAAAGAAAGCAGAGAGTAGTATTGAGTAATTCCAGAGAGCAGAGCAGAGAATAGTGGAGTTCAACAAAGCTCTAGTTAAATGCATTCTTTGTTACATTTATTCATGATATTTCAGAAACAATGACATATTATATTAAGCTTTTTGCCGATGGTACAAAATTTATTACAATCATAAATAATTCAATGGGGATGGCATTTCATTTCAACTTTGGTTTTATAACTACAAACAAACCCAATGCTAAAAAGCTGCTTCAAAAGAAACTTTGGAACATTAAATCATTCAAGATTTTTACTTTGAAACATTTCTTCAGCATGAAATCCTTAAAGAAAAAAATACATTGAAAATTTTGAAAGAATTCAAAGACAAGCTATTAAACTAGTGCTGGCTTTATGCAAACTTAATTATGAACCTAGACTTATAATTTTTGGTTTAACTTTCTTTAAGAAAAAGATTTAAATACTTTAATTAACTACCCTTAACAATAGAAGAATTAAAGGTTTTTTTTAATCATTTTAAAATCTCTAACAGCTTTATATAAGTAAATTGGCAAGCCCCAATAAACTAAACATATTGGAATCAGCTCTAAGGTTCTGCATAATTAATTAGAAATAATCAACACTAAATCATCAAGCAAACCACGAAAAAACTTTTTCACAAATAGGATTTTTATTTATTAGAACCAACTTCCTAAAGAAATCTTTAAGGGAGACAATTTCTTCAAATTTAATGATATTAATTTTTTTATTATAAATGTGGTAGTGGTGTAGTGGTAGAGCGCTCGCTTCATAAACGAGTTGTTCCGAGTTCGATCCCCACCATGTCCCTGGTAGTACCGCGCTCAACTCGTTTCTCCGCGCAGCGGCCTTGTTCGTCAAGGTTCGTGTTTCGGAGTTATAGAGTAGAGAGAGGGTTATAGCCACAAAATAAGTAGCCTCCTCGTCTGTAGTGGCCTTCTCGGCCTTGAGGAGGTGAAGTAAAATAAAATAAAAAAAATAAAAAATTAATATAATATAAAAATAAAATGTTATTAATAGCGCAAAAATAATTTGACTGCCAGTCTACAAAAATATTTGTTAGATTCACAGAATATTATTTTGTAGCAGTTGTATCTATAAAAAATAAATTAGCCCTATTTCAAAAAATTCAAATTTAAAATGAATTTTGGGCAAACTCTAAAACTCGTGTATGTATGTGTGTGTGTGTGTATATATATATATATATATATATATATATATATATATATATATATATATATATATATATATATATATATATATATATATATATCAGGGATGCGAAGTCCGGAGTCGGAGTCCGGAGTCGGAGTCCATGGAGTCCCTATTTTAGCCCGGAGTCCGGAGTCTCGGGAGTCCATAAAAATTTTAGGACTCCTGGACTCTTTTTTTTTTTTTTATAGTTATTAATATGCATAAGAAATACCTGATAGTCTTGTCACAAAACACTGTAAAAGAGCATTTGACCGGAAAGCTCATCTCCTTCCTTACTAATTCGAACCAATACTCAGATTGAGTATCGGTTAGAATGTTACGCCTTGTTAAGAGGCGTTACCAAGCTCGCATTTTACGTGCGAAAAGGCCATATGCTTATGCGTTCAGCAGTTTAACGTTAAGAGAAAACTTTCTTCTTTTAGAATATTTAATTTTTATTTTGATATCGTTGATGTGACGTTTATTCAGAAAATATAATGTTGTAAATAAAAGTATTTAACCGCAATTGCGATCTAATAGTTTTTTTTGTTAAAGAAACTGTTTAAAAATTTTTTTTCTGTTAAATTTAATTAAAAAAAATAAAGTGTTTTAACTTTAAAAATTTCATGATATTTAATGTTAAGTTTTATATTAAGTTAATAAACTTTTATTCGCAAATTATTTTCATTTTATATGTAACAATTTTTGTTTATTTATTTATAGTTTTAAAACAATTAATTTTTTTATCCCGTTAAGAAAGTACTTATGATTAACTGTTTATTTAAGTATTTCCTCATCATCAAATTTCGAGACCCAGGGACAATTTTCCTAAAAAGAGAGGAAGTTAACATTCGACACTTAAATATTTTTTATAAGACATTAGTCACTTTTGAAGGATTCATCCTCCTCATTTTATTCACAAAATCGCCACTGGCTAGACCTGCAGATAAAGATATGTTTGAACGCTTAGTTGTTTTATAATTTTTTAATATTTATCAAATTTAGAGATAAATGATATTTTAGTGTTGAAGTTGCTTTTATGCATAAGTTTTTTCGTTATCTTTAATTTTTTAGATTGATCATAGAAAGAAAGTCGATTAGAATAGATTAACTAGGTTATGAGCAGTAGACAAATATTTTACCAAAGTCAAGTTCTTTAAAAAAAAATTGTCGATATATTTTTTGCTTTGTTTAAGCACTGTTTAAAACTGTAAACTATAGTAGGAAACTATACTTATAAATAAATGAAGCTTGTAAATACTATTAGAAAAAAAAATATATCTTTTTATTTCTTTTAATTTCAACCCAAAATGGCATGACTCTGTCTAAGAAAATAAAAAGTCTACTCTGCTAATAAAATAAAAAATTTTATTTTAATAACGCCTAATGAAAAATTGTAATGAAAGCAATATGGTTTAGATACGAAAAGCAATCAAATTTCACTAGCAAATTAATTATACGCAATAAAAAAACAAATTTGTCTGTGAGTTTGCGCTATAAAATCAAGCTAACGATCTAGACAGTTGGCAAAAAACGTACCATCAAGGTCAGAAAGAAGCCAAAAAAAGCTTATAAAAATACCTCAACAAATAAATGCTTTTTTTACGAACAAACGAGTTTTTTATTTAAACGTTTTTTGATGATGTAAATATTATAATATTTTGTCCTTATAACTTTTTAATTTAGCGTGTAATTAATGCAAATAAGCATTTAAATCTTTTTATAATTTTATGATCATGTCGTTTCAAATAATCTGAGAAATTGAGTGCGACAATACAAATCAAATAAAAATCTTTGGAGTTGTATTGTTCTTATAAATTCTTACGATCCAGCAAAAGCGGGACAAATTAACTTTTGGGTTTAAGCAGCCGTGGCTCAGTGGTAGCGCACTTTCCTAAAAAAAATAAGGGATCCGTGGTTCAAACCCACCTTTGGTTTTGCGACATCGGTTAGGAAGTAGGAGTGAATTTCCTTTTAATTGCTTTTCTAAGGTGCGCTGTTATAAGACCGTAAGGACTTCTTAGGGTACATAAAATAAATATATATATAATTCATAAGAGAAAATATTATTGGTACCCTTTCATTTTTCCGGAACTTTCGCGTAAAAGTTCCAAATAATAAAAACCCCATATTTAAATGAAGAAAAAAAAAATTATTACGGAGTCCGGAGTCCGGAGTCGGAGTCCGTGGAGTCCATGATTTTTGAGCTCGGAGTCCGGAGTCCCGGAGTCCCAAAAAATCGATGGGACTTCGCATCCCTGATATATATATATATATAAAATTTGTCAAAAGGCTCTAGTATCACTGATATGCACCCATAATTTTTGTAGCTCTCAATCACTTACACAAATAGCTCAAGCTCAAGCTGTAACTTCCAAACAACCCAAATCACTTAGCTTTATTCGTTAATGTTTTTGATCATGTGCTTTTTTGATCATATTCTAATTAATAAAATCAGACCAAGCAATGATAGAACTAAAATTTAATCTTGCACTTCTTCTACATTAAATTCGCACTTCTTAATGCTGCTATATGGGATTACTTCTGTAAATTTCTTTATGATGGTTCTTAAGCAGATATCTTCTGTTGCTAAAGTTATATCACCACCATCTTACATAAGACTCAGTTTTTAGGAACTTTTTTCAATAACTAACAAGTACTCAACTAAACTTTGCTTTAACTACTTAAGAACCTAGAGATCTGAACCTAGAGATCTGAACCAATGTTTGGTGAATGTTTCAGATCTGAGATGGCTCCAGATCTGAAACATTCACCAAATCTCTTTACTATTATTAACAATGTCTTTGATTTTATTTAACATTAGTTTTAAAAATAATACCTTTAATATCTAAAATGAGCTAAAAATTTGATAATCTATACAAGTTTCTACTCTAATGCTCTACTATTTGCTTTCAAATTGTTTTGCTGGTGACTTGATAAACATTAAGGCAGAAAGATTCTACTAAGTATATGAAAGTGATCACATACCAAAAGCTTTCAATGAAGCCTGGCATTCTGATCTACTGTTCTCTTCATATGGTTTATCTGGAAAGGTTTAAAACAATTAAACCATTTCTTTCCAAATGCAGCATTAAATCCACATTACCACAAGGTTCCAGTATTGTTTTCTATATTAATGATATTCCTGATAAATTTTAAATCTTTCCTGATAAAAATGTTTTTTATTAAAAAAAAACAAAAAACTATCTTTGCACCGTTACCAAATAAAGCAAATCAATTTTATCTAAAAAAAGGAAAATAAAAGAAAAAAGAAACCCAGATTACTATTTCTTTAAATTATTAAAATAAATAACTACATTGTTTATACTTTAAAAAGTTAATAAAAATGCATTTTAAAAACTGAAGCATAGTAAAAATGCCAACATTTTTTATAAAACATTTTTATGGATTCGTAAGATTACTTTACATTATATTTTACATTAAATATGAAAATTATATATATAATATATATCTTAAAAGAAGAATAAAAATACCGAGTATTCAGAGAGTTCAGTGAGGAATTTCCGTTTTGAAAAATATCTCTGCAACTAAAAACAAAGTTAAACACTAATGTACAGAACACTCATCAATTAACCAGAACACACATACAAAAATAAAACTGTATCTGTCAACAAATAAAACAGACTTAGTTTTAAATGGAAAAAAAAAAACTTTAAATAATCAGTAAATCTCAGTTAATCAATCATGATGTGTAAACAAAACAAATTAAATTATAACCCAATATCTTTAAAATCCAAAATCTCAATGAATTTTTTAAATCTAAAATATGAATAACATTTTATTAAAACCCCAAACTTTGTTACTGGCACAAAATTTATAAAAAAAATTATTCAAAAAAATTTTATTAAACAAACCTAATTGTCTCATGCATAAATTCAAAATCAATAATTTCGATTGAATTTTTCAACCTAAAATAAATAAAATCTTTTATTTTTATCAATTTAACTCATTCATTTAACATTTTAACTCATTCATTTATACAAGTTATTGAACAAAATGTACTAAAAATCAAAACTAGTATACCTTTTAAAAAATATCAAACATATATATTCTTACATTAGTAAATAGAGCATTTATATGATTTTAAAGAAAAATAAAGTAAAAATATATTTAAAAAATTTTTTTAACTCCCCAAAGCAGAGGAAGGAACTTTATTGTGGTAACAAGGCTCTTTCAACTCTTTAACTCCAAAACACAAACCTTGATCAACAAGGCCACTGTGCAGAATAACAAATTTAATTTATTATAATAATTTTAAACCTCAAAATTAATTTAGAAGTTAGTATATTGTTATAACAATTCTTGATAAATATCAATGAAATGTGTTTTCATGTTACTTTCCTTAGTATGTAACATAACAGCATTCTTATCAAAAAGGCAAAGATTTTTTTCCAAAGTAACTAAAATATTGTTATCTCACATGAACACATAACTGGGATAATTGACTTTAAACTTTGAATGTTTTGTAACTAAAAAATTATAGGTCACCATGATACATTTGGCAACATGAAACATTGCAATTGTGAAGATATTCTATGAGTTGCGATAACCGCTTTCATATGGTGAAACATACTACTTGTTAAACTATTTACAGCTAGAGCTAAGTTTTGACATAAAAATTATGTCATTAGATATTGTTAGACGTGCGAGGGGTCAAACTTAGTGTTTTTTTGATAAAGTAATTAATTTTAAAGTTGCTAAGTTTTAAAGTATGCTATTCAATGTATAGGTAACTAACATTATTTTGTAAACTAAAATTCATAAGCTCTTTACTTTTTTTACCTTTTTATTAAAAAAAAAAAATTTTTTAACTTGATACAACATTTCGTCAGCTGAGAACCAAGAAGCCGTATATCCAGTTTTGACTTTTTTTCTGTTTTTTACTAAAAAATGTTTTCTATGATGAAATCTATGTTTTGAGTAATTCTAGTCACAAAAATCATCAAACTTAGGGTTATATTAAAGAACCAGAAGACCGTATGTCCAAAAAAGTGACGACTGTTATTATCAACTGTAATTATATGTCCTTCGACCAATCAGATTAGCCAAGACTTTGTTTACGCTGTTAAACAACCGCTAAAAGTCAATTTGTTATCAATAAAATGGCGTACCATGAAACTATTGATGAAGTATCTCAAAGGTACAAATATAAATATAGAGTTCTCTAAATTATAAAATCACGAATTGTTTAAACTAGTCAATGCTTACTACTTAGTTCTATATATTTAATATATTATAATTATTAATATTGTTATTATTATTATTATTATTGTATATATAATATTTAATAATTTAGAAACATAAAGAAACAAGATTACATTCAATTACAACATAATCTTCAATTCAACTACTCTGAATCTATCTCTGTTATTCAATCACAACATATTGATAAAAATGATGATTTCCTTAATCAAACTGATTCGAACAAAGATGCCAGGGAAAGTAGCAGAAAACACAGGAGAACTGGAAAAAATCTTACATGCAAACGAAAAAGAGGTCCTACCTCCTGGAAAAAAGAGATCCTACCTCCTAAGAAAAAAACAGAGTGGTCAGCAATACATAGCCTCAAATGTCAAAATACAACTGGGGAAATTTATAAAAGACTGTAAGAGAGACCACACTCAATGTCATTTTAAATGTAAATTAAAAATTAGCGTTGCTGATCAAGAAACTTTGCACAAACAACACTGGATTTTTAATGATCAAGAAAAGCATCTTTTTTACTCCCAAACTATAATTGTAGAAAACAAAAAAAGATTTTATCTTGCTGAAAATTTAGAATTGAAAAAACAATGAAGTAATTCATATTACTTTATTGTTTCTGATGAACTTATACGTGTTTGTAAAGAATTTTGTCTGTGTACTCTAAATATTGATGAAAAAAGAATTAGAAATTACTATTTAACAAAAAACAAAACAACAGGAGCACCTCAACAGTATAAAAGAGGTAAAGTACCTAGTCGAACTGTCCCAAATTACATTAAAGATTCTGTACGTAAGCAAATTCAAAGCTTTCCAAGAATCGACAGTAACTTTTGTTGCAAAAGTACAAACAAAAAGTACATTCAAGAAAATCTAAATATGACCATTTTGTATGAGAAATATTGTGAAAATTGTGTTTCTGACAATGTTATTCCTGCAAAAAAAAGTATGTATAGATCAATATTTAACACAGAGTTTTACATTGAAGTTCATAAACTAAAAAAAGACAGATGTGACTAATGTGAAAGTATGAAAATGAATCCTTCACCAAACTCAAATGAAAAAATAGAATATGAAATTCACACAAAAAACAAAGCTGAAACTAACGAAGAACGTAATCGCGATAGGCTTGATAAAAGCAAGTGTGTTATTTGCTTCGATATGGAAAATGTTTTCAGCCTAGCAACAGCAAACATTTCCAACTTTTTTTACAAACAAAAGTTGACTGTTTTTCATTCGACTGCACAATGCTCTATATCAAAAAAAAATTATAGTGCAGTCTGGTCAGAACTTACTGGCCGAACAGGAAATGACTATAGAATAGTGCTCTTCTTGTTATACTTGATCAAATAGTTGCAGATACTTGATCAAATAGATGAATCTCAAGTAACTGAAAAATGAATCTATGAATAACTAAAACTTGTTTATGGAGTGACTCTTGTGTACCGCAGAATAGAAATAGTTTTATGACGATTGCTTTAAAAAATTTTATGCGAAACCATCCACAAATTAAAATAATCATTCAGAAATTTTGTGAGCCAGGACATAGTGTTATCCAGGAGATAGACAGTTTACATAGTATTATTGAAAGAAATATGGAAGTAGCTGAAGTTTACAGTCTAATAGGCCTTGTCAGAATTCTAAAGTACATACCTCGAAAGAATCCAATCAAGTTGATTCAAATTAAAGAAGAGCAGATGATGGACTTTCAAACCGTTGCTAAGAATTATTCATTGCTGAAAAATGTTCCATATGCTAAAGTAAAGATACTTAAATACTCAGCAGATAAGCCATGGAGTGTTGAATACAAAACTGAGTTTAGTTTTGAATGAAAGTTGGAAAATATTCTCAACTATAACACTAGACAACGAAATTCAAATAATAAAAAAATGGCAAACAATATAAGGTTTGTGCAACCGAAACTGCTTAAAAAAAAAAAAAAAAATCTCAATAGAAAAAGTAAAAGATCAAAATTCATGCCACTTCAAGACAAAGAATATATGTCATCGGTCTTACAAACATTCACCTAGTGTTAAATGTTAACTATTATCAATTTTTGTTCGCAGCAATTTTCAGCTCTATAGTCAACTTGGTTTTGCATCAATTTTTTTAGAACTCTTTTTATGAAAATTATTTTATGAATTTTAATTTGCAGGCTGTTGTATTTCATTTTCAAGTAAAACAGAATGTTTGGATTAGTCTTTAATGTATATTTACTATTGCAACCAGCTTGAAAATTGTAACCAAAATAATTAAGTGTATATATATATATATATATATATATATATATATATATATATATATATATATATATATATATATATATATATATATATATATACATACATATATATATATATATATATATATACATATATATATATATATATATATATATATATATATATATATATATATATATATATATATATATATATATATATATATATTTAATTCTGAAACCCTGAAACTAGTTTTGTATTATTTTTATTTTTATAGCGTTTGTATCAACATAACTGACCTTGCGAACAAAAAATTGTATTTTGCAATCTTTTTTGGTTTTATGCTTTTCAAAACTGTATTAAAAGTGCATTTACTAGTGTCTCACCGACACTGGAAATGCAACTCATTTCCAATTTTTAAATTCCAAAATTACTTTCTCTTAGGTGCTTTAAACACTGGACAGGACGTTTGTTATAGCAATATAAATCAGTCCTGATAAGAATAAAAACTTAAAGTGTAATCCCCCCTTGTATTAACCACCCGAAAGTAATCATATAAACCACTTTCTGAAAAACGCAGTTTTTTAAAGTTTAAAGAAATGTAAACCAGCAGGCTGTATGTCCACAACTACATTCAGTTTGCAACATTTTTAGATTAAAACCACTCTTTCAAACAAACTTTTATTACTTCTAATAAAAAAAAGACTTAATTTACTATTAGACTTAAAAATATAAATATTTTACAAAATAATCAACTGTTAGTATTTGTGCCCTAAAATTTAAAAATCGAATTACTCCGAATCACAAAAGTGGAGATAAGGCCCCTTGGTTCTTGGCTGACAATTTGCGTGTGTGTGGGGGGGAGGAGGCTAAAAATGTAGAACAGTACTCCATTGTGCCACAATTTTGAAAATAATTTATTTTATATTTAAAGTCAATTTTTACAAGATTTATGTAAATATAATAATAATAAAGGTAAAATTTTGATACAAAGCTATTATTTATTGATGTTTATTTTTAAAATTACTACAGTGATATTATTATATCAAATAATAATATATCAAAATACTTTTCAAAAATACTCCAAGTAAAATAAACTATGGTAGCATTTGAAAAACCATTTTGTCATTTTCATTTAGCAAAATATGTTATATACGTTAATAAATCATATATGCGGCTTAAACCATTTTTAAATAAAACAATGTAAATTTTTTTAAAATGTGAAGTTTATGTAAGAATATGTAATAAACAATCTTATTATATACTAATTTATTACATAATAGATGTGCTTATTACATATAAAACATATTATTAAGGTGAAAAAGGAAAATTATAGGAGGTGGTAATAAGAATATATTATGTGGTATTGGTAAAAACTTAAAATATTATGTAAAATGGTGATGAAATTCTAGATAAGAAAAAAAATTCTTTCCATATAAATAATGAATTTTAAAAAGTTTTTTGAACAAGGCAACTTTATGCTTCTGATATAAAGTAAGCCTAAAGAAATATTTAATAAATACTGGTAAACAATCAAGTTCAATCCAATAATGGCAGCCTTTACACCCCTATTCAAAGTATCAAAAATTAAAGAAAGTTAGTAATTTTAAATCAAATAAAAATTTTATAAACAATGTCAAATTTTAAAAAGAAATCTAAATTGCCTGACAATTGCCAACATGAAAATTATTGTAAACTAAATGCAATTTTTTTATAAAATAGGCAAAACAGTTACACGACAATAATATCATAAAAAGTTTATATACACAACTTAAATATTAAAAATTAATAATTTATTATGAAAAAGTTTTTTAAACATAATTTGACTGACTTTTTTACATATCTGAATGAAATTTCTGAAAAAAAATTTTGAAATTGCACTTTTACAATTTTTCTAAACTAATCTTTCCTATACAAGATTTTTTTCCTAACTTACCTTGACATTGACTTTTTTATACTGTTACGGACTGTATCCAAGGAAGAAGCCACACCAGGTTGTTTTGCTTCAAAGAATTTAGAAGGTCTTAAAAAATTAAAATAAAACTATTGCAAACTTCACATAATATTACAGTTTATAATAGTATATCACACAGTAAATTAAACAGTCAAAATAGTACATCACACTATAATTAGCATCTATGAATCCATCAACTTAGTACATTTAAAATAAAGCTATGAATCCATCAAATTAGCATATGTAAAAAAAGGCTTTAATTTCAGTAGAGTACTTGAAACAAATTCTATTTGAAATCGCAAGATAGGGAATTCCATGCCGAAAATGAGAAAAAGAGATAAATGAAAAATTGGAAAACCAAGAAATTATTAGTAAATGTGAAAACAAAGAAAATACTAAAGATTATAAATAATAAAGGACAAAAAAAAAACATCTAAACAACTAAGAAAGTTATATAAAAAAAATGTTTATATTAAACTTAAAAATGGAAAACAATAGTAAAGAAAGATCTTTCCTTATTAATAAATAAAAATGGAAAACAATAGTAAAGAAAGATCTTTCTTTAATAATAAATAAAAATGGCTCTACTACCAAAAAAGTTGTTTTTGGTGGCAGAAAACAATTTTTTAAGTTTTATTAATTTATATTGTGTGCATTGTTTAGTGACATGTATTTGTATGTATTGTAATTTTGTTCATCACTTATATTGGCATGTATTTCTGTATACTTTTTATATTTCAATTTTAAAACTTTCTTTCTGTAAAAGGTAATAAAATTTATTAAAAAAGCTTCATAATTCCAAAAAACCACCAAGAACCCAGGATGTAGTTAATGCTAATTGACAAATTAAAAAAAAATATGCTATTACAAAAAAAAAAAGTTCTGGTTTTAAAAGATGTTTTGCAACCATGCAAAAATTCAATTGCAATTTGCAATCATACCTTAGTTTAAGTTTAATGTATACTTATACATTATATTTTATATTTATTTTTCCTCATCATTTTCTAAAAAAGATCAACTAAAATAAGTTTTGTAAAACTTGCAAATAATTTGGTTGCAACTTTCGTTAGAATTAAATTTGTTTTTGTAATTCTTTATATCTGGAAAAAGCAAAATCAAGCTTTTTTTTGAAAATCTCACCTCTGTGTCAAAGCAGCAAATTGCTCCTGATAACTTATGCTTTCCAACCACGAAGGAAAATTCCAATTTAAACAAACTGTGTTGGAATTATAAGAAAAATCCTAAATTCAAAAACAAATGTTTAAATATATTTAAAATATAATAAATTTTCATATAATTTTCTGATGCAATAAACTTTCACCAACAATCAGAAATGTTAGATAAAAACATTATTTGCAACTTACAAGACAACATGAAATATGAAAGGTTATACTTTATTCTATTTAAATAGAGTGATATAGCTATCTTAAACAAGTAGCAACAAACACATTTAGTGTTGAAACTCCGGTCTGTTGAAAATTGAAAAACATAATTTAAATAGTACCTATTTTATAACTAAATTTATAAAAACAATTTTAGTAACTTTTTTTATTATAGTATAAAATAAAACATAGCTTTAATTTATTGCCTAATTGTTGATTTATTGCTTAACTGTTGACTTAATTGTTGACTAGTTGCTTAAATTATTATATGATTATATATATATATATATATATATATATATATATATATATATATATATATATATATATATATATATATATATATTTATATATATATATATATATATATATATATATATATATATATATATATATATATATATATATATATATATATTATTATTATTATTATTGAGTTGTGTTGTATTCTGTTGGATTTAATACAGCTCTTTGTCGGATTAAGAGTGATCGATATTTATAAAATAGATCAAAATATATTAAATATTTAAATAAAAAAAATACAACTTTTTTATGGGACTTCAAGTTTCATGCCATTCCGCAATCATTCAGCCATATATTTAAAAATCATTAAAATAAAAACCGTTATAAAAATACAAAATTGCGTTGCAACGAGATCAAACGTCAGTTTTCACGCCAAACGGGAATTTATTTAACCGGTGTCGAAATTTGATAGCAAAAACTTTTTTCTGTGCCTACATGCTGAAACCAATTCACTTTTTTTATTTAGCAAAAGTTTTTTATTGTATGTTGAAATAAAATATTTCTCATTTATGCAAAGATTACATCTTTTTGAGGATGGGTTATAGGGTTGACATTTTTTAACAATACTCCACTTGATTATTGGTTTAATGCCTGCTTCCTTAAGTTTCCAGATCTCTTTAGAAAGTTCAGTGTCATTTTTATACCTGACCAAGTTGAATGATTTTATGTGGTTTGCAAACCTGATCTTGAAGGAGTTTTCGCTAATACCAATATAAGATTTCTTAGCGTGGTTGACGTTCGCTGGTGTTACGGTAGCTTTGTAAACAATATTTTTAGTTAGACATTGATTTTCTAAAGGACACGCAGCTCTGTCTATACAGTTGCATTTTCTAACGTTTTCGGTATTTTGGTTACACAAAATGTGTTGGTTGTGAGACTTAATAATAGTACTAATATTTGGCATGCAGCTGTAGCTTATTTTGACGGTGTTTCTGTTAAAAATCTTGTGTAGCCTGTGGTGTGCTGGGAAATGTAAGTCGATTAAGTTCAAGAAAAGGTTTCCTAATTTGGTGACAACATTCTTACTAAAAGAGGGATTAAACATTATGATGCTTCGTTTGCGTTTATTAGTATGATGATTAGTTTTTTGTAAATTTAAATTAGGACAATATTGGATATTGCTGCTATGTCCAGACTTTATAAGGGCTTCTTTGTAAATAGAAGAAGAGTTTTCAAAAATTATTTTGCTGGAGGAGTTTGATGATAATCTTTGTTCAATAGAGGTCGGCAGCTGTTTCAAAATACTTGGTGGGTGGTTAGAGCTGGCATGGATATAGTTTAACAAACTTTCAGGTTTATGGTAAGGTTTGAAGCTGCAGTCATTAAGATTTAATGTAATATCAAGATAATTCACAATTTTTATGTTGCATTGAATAGAAATATTAAGGCTGTTACTTTTAAATATCTGAGTTATATGTTTTTTAGCTTTTTCCATTTGTGGACCGCTGGCGTTTTTAATTACGACCAACCCATCATCTCTATACAGCCCAAAGTTAAACTTGTTATAAAATTGAGAAATTTGGAAAAGAAGGAAAATTCCAACCAACTCACATACCTCGGCACCGTCAAACGCTCCCATGGTGACGTCAAATAAATCACCAGATTTTTTTATCCAAACTTCGTTATTGTTAAATAACAAGGATTTCCGTGCGAGTTGAATCAAAGATTTGTGCTCGTTTCCAATGGTAACATACTGTTCAGCAAAGCAGATAGAGTCTATAAGAAGTTTCTCGGTAATAGAAGGATAAAAGTCAACAATATCAAAAATGAGGAATTTATAAAAATCTTTGTCATTGATGTTCTTGAACCATTTAATTACCTCCTGTGTGTTACTCCACTGGTTAATACATAAAATATTTCTTAGCTGGTTGTTTATTTCGGATAAAATATGTTTACTTATTCTTCCTACTTCGTTCTTTGCTGGGTTTATGAGACGAACCAAAGGATCATTTAAAAAATTAGGTTTATGATCTTTCAATGTGATGAAACAGTTTGAAGATCCATTAATATGAATTTTGTTGAAAACATCGTGGTTTTTTAAAATAATTTTTCCTTCTTTATTAATCTGATCTTTTATCATTGGATTGGATACTGTGTTGGATTGAAGTTGTGGCAGCGTTTGTCATCAATTTATTGTATTCATCTTTAGGCAGCTTGTATAAGTTTGACGTCTTATCTGCGTATGCATAGATAAATTGATTTAATAATTGAAGACATTTCCCAGCACACCACAGGCTACACAAGATTTTTAACAGAAACATCGTCAAAATAAGCTACAGCTGCATGCCAAATATTAGTACTATTATTAAGTCTCACAACCACATTTTGCGTAACCAAAATACCGAAAACGTTAGAAAATGCAACTGTATAGACAGAGCTGCGTGTCCTTTAGAAAATCAATGTCTAACTAAAAATATTGTTTACAAAGCTACCGTAACACCAGCGAACGTCAACCACGCTAAGAAATCTTATGTTGGTATTAGGGAAAACTCCTTCAAAATCAGGTTTGCAAACCACATAAAATCATTCAACTTGGTCAGGTATAAAAATGACACTGAACTTTCTAAAGAGATCTGGAAACTTAAGGAAGCAAGCATTAAACCAATAATCAAGTGGAGTATTGTTAAAAAATGTCAACCCTATAACCCATCCTCAAAAAGATGTAATCTTTGCATAAATGAGAAATATTTTATTTCAACATACAATAAAGAACCTTTATTAAATAAAAAAAGTGAACTGGTTTCAGCATGTAGGCACAGAAAAAAGTTTTTGCTATCAAATTTCGACACCGGTTAAATAAATTCCCGTTTGGCGTGAAAACTGACGTTTGATCTCGTTGCAACGCAATTTTGTATTTTTATAACGGTTTTTATTTTAATGATTTTTAAATATATGGCTGAATGATTGCGGAATGGCATGAAACTTGAAGTCCCATAAAAAAGTCGTATTTTTTTCATTTAAATATTTAATATATATATATATATATATATATATATATATATATATATATATATATATATATATATATATATATATATATATATATATATATATATATATATATATATATATATATAAAGTGTGTGAGCAATTAAAAAACAAAAGAAATTTATAAAAATAAACCTTTATGCTGTTAGTGTGGCGTGAGAAATGTTGACTAATAGCATTACCTAATAACATCATATCTAGTTGTTCATCTAAAAAATACAAAATCATTTAATTTTAAATTAAAATTCTCAGACAGGTTAAACAGTGATAATAAAAAAAAAAAGGTTTAAATGCTTAAGTCAATTCTTCTAAAAATCAAAAACCCAAAAGAAGAAATTCTGATACAACTTTAAATATATTTGATTATAAACTACCTGAACATTTTATAATGACATGCACAATTTTGGGATCAACACTAACAGTTTCTAATGTCTCTTTATGGAAAACATTTAACTTCTGTAAAAAAAAAGTTAAAAATATTTTTAATAACTTTACAAGAAAAACTTTGGATTTGAAGTTTAAAATATCTGGAAAAAAAAATATCTATAAAAAGTTTACTAAATCAAAAACTTAATAACGATACACAATACCATAAACACCCATAGATCATTGTAGACATAAATACAACATACAACAAAATACACACAACATCAAAGATTCATATATAACATCAAAGCTAAAAATAGAACACTATAGATACACATAGAACATTGCAAGGAGAACACTATAGATACACATAGAACATTGCAGATATATATATATTGCCCTCACAACATTACAGATATGCATGCAGCATTTTAGATGCACGCACACTTCAGATATAGATAAACATCAAAAATATACATACAACATATATACGTATATAAAGAAAGAGAGAATCATATATATCATATATACTTATAACTATAACATATATATGATATATTTATCATACAAAATTGTAAACACATATGAAACATTTGATATACATATGAAACATTTGATATAGTATTATTAAATCGTAAATAAATATTTGATATAGTATTATTAATATGTAAATACGTATGAAACACCACAAAAAAACATAGCACTCTAGTATATTAATAACATGAACTAACTTCATAGATACACAATACAAACATATGAAGTGATAAACGCAAGTAACTTAATAAAATTTTCATTGGTAATAATTCATTCAAAATCATTGTTAAATAACTACAAATAAATAGATTTTGACTTACTCTTTCAAATAAATTGTGTTCAGTAAGGGTGCCATTGTATGAAATTCCATTATTACTAAAAAAATATACAAAAGATACAAATTTAAAAATTGTTAAGATTTTAGCTAAACTTTGTTGCCTGCAAATTTGCTAACCATTTTTATATACTAAAATACATTTACAAATAATTAATAATACATAATAATAAAATAATATATAATAATACATTTACACAAATGCTAAAAATAAATAGAAGTATTCCAAGAAAATATTCACAAAAAGATAATTGTTTAAAACGTTGAAGATCTTCTTCCTTTTTTAAAAAACTTAAAAAAAATCTAAAAATGATTTTTAAATGGAATTAAATTCACCTAAAATAAATGTTACCTGTAAACTAATAATTGACAAGGAGAAAGTGTATATGGACCTATAAATAATTTTTTATATATTATACGTTGATAAGAGAACAAAAAAATCTAAAAAGTATAAAAAAAAAAGTACAAAAGAAATTCAGAAAGTATTTATAATAACTTTAACAAAAATAAAAAAGGGATTTATAGTAACTTACAAAAAAAAAAGGATTTATATAAACTTTTTCAAAAAATAAGGATTTATAGTAACTTTGAAAAAAAAAGGATTTATAGTAACTTTTACAAAAAATAAGGATTTATAGTAACTTTTACAAAAAATAAGGATTTATAATAACTTTGAAAAAAAAAAGGATTTATAGTAACTTTTACAACAACAAAAAGGATTTATAGTAACTAAACAAAACAAAACAAAATTATAGTAGCTTTTACAACAACAACAAAAAAAGATCGATAGTAACTTTCTCAAAAAAAAAAAGGATTTAAATTAACTTTTGTGTCGAATCATTATACTTCAACCAATGGCCTGTGGGTCACCATGTCTGATTTTCCTGATTTTTACATGTTGTTATGTACACTATGTAGATAGGTTAACTTGAAATTTCAGACTTCCAAGTACAAGGGTTCAGAAATTATAGCCTTAGAAACATGACACAGTGGCCCCCCTCAATTTACAAATGGTCAAAACAGACTACTTTATAGCTGTATAACCTTTTTCTGACTTTCAAAAAAATGAGACATCAAGTGTCTCATTTTTTTTTTTTTTTTTTTGAATGATTTTCTGGATAGCTCTCTTTTGTAAAAGTTTAATTTGACAATAATGTGAATTTGACAAGTTTACAATTAGTTTCACACAGCATATATTAGCAATTTTATGATTTTTTCTAAAGTTGAGGTCATAATTGTTCTTTAATTTAATACAAGTTAATAAAAACCATTTTTTTAATGAGTGTATTTTTCAGAAAATAGTTCTAGAAAAAATGAAACACTTGTTGAATAAAAAAAAAAAGTTGTACAGCTATAAAATAGTCTATTTTGACCATTTGTAAGTTGAGGGGGCCACTGTGTCATGTTTCTAAGGCTATAATTTCTGAACCCTTGTACTTGGAAGTCTGAAATTTCAAACTTAACCTATCTACATAATGCACATAACAATATGTAAAAATCAGGAAAATCAGAGATGGTGACCCTCAGACCATTGTTTAAATATAATAATTTGACCCT